TCATAATGTTTTGACTGTAACAGGTTTGATTCAGGAACAATTTGTACAAAACCTAGCTCAGAGAGATCCCAGCTGATTATTAGATAGTTCCAGTGCACAACTATGCAACCAACAGCAGCACTACTGCTATTAATAATCTATTTGATCCTTTCTGCTTTTTAAAATGTAAAACTTAAACTGTCACTCTCTGAGTAAGCTGTATTTTATAAATTATGTCATACCTTTTGTCCTTAGGAGTTTATATGTCGCTTTCTTAGTTTTTAGCTTCATTGGGATTTTACTCTGCCTTGGTGTATCAGAGGTGTAAGCAGACAGTTTTATACTGTCAGTACCGCTCAGGTGGTGTGAATGAGAATAATAAACTTCAGCATATTACAGGTGACTCCATAACAGAATAATTTTTTTTTCTCAAATAATTTACAATTAAGCAATGAATAACAGGATCTATGTGCTGGTGGGTAAGGGAAAGAGTTGTGCCATGACGCCAATCATTTACTATCCATCTACTTGGTCTTTTGCACCCAGAGATCTGGCACTCTGACCTTCTTCTCTGCCTATCTCACTGGCACAAGATGCTGTTGAAAATTAGTTATTTCTCAATCCAAGCCAATGGTTGGTTGAGCTCATGACAAAGTTCCTCAGCCTAAAAAAGGGAGTACATATAATTAGGTTGGTGGATGGATCTCAGCTGCTATCATTAGTTTTCAATCACAAAAGTAATTATTTACATCTTTGTGTGAAAAGCTGCTTTTCAACCAGCCCCATGCAGTGTATGGATGTTATGTTTCTCTTAGCCCTGCAGGGAAATAATTCTGATCCCCATTACACAACTGTTTCTCTCTATTGCTGCCTCTCTTCCACAAGTCCTTCCATAGCTGACTTCTGACTGTGGCCTTCATGGCAGCCCAGCTGATATCCTAGCCATCACAGTCATTTCTGTCTGTGTCTCGTATCTTGTACTGTAGAACTCACCTCCATGCAGAGGATGACATTGGTGATGGTATATTTTAAAGGAAAGAGCCTGACAGGTAAGTCAAAATCTTATCACTAAATGCTACCCTTTGAATGTATGATTGGTGAAGTTTATTAATACATGTAAACTTCATAAAGTTTCATAAAGCTCAGTACTGTGTCCACTTCTGGATTCCTCAATACAAGAGAAATGAACATAGTGGAAAGAGCTCATCAAAGGACCACGAAGATGATGAAGGGATTTGAGGATCTCTCCTGGAAGGAAAAGCTGAGAGAACTGTTCAGCTTAAAGAAGAGAAGGCTCAGGGGGTATCTTATCAATGTGTATAAATACCTGAGAGTGCAGAGCAGGATAGAGCCAGGCTCTTTTCAGTGGTGCCTGGTGGTGGCAGTGGGCACAGACTGAAACACAGGAGGTTCCCTCTGAACGTCAGGAAACACTTTCTTACTGTGAGGGCTACTGAGCACTGACACAGATTGCCCAGAGAGGTGGTGGAGTCTCAATCCCTGGAGATATTAAAAAGCCATCTGGACATAGTTGTGGACAACTGGCTCTAGGTGGCCCTGCTTGAGCAGGGGAGTTGGACCAGATGACCTTCAGAGGCCCCTTCCAACCTCAACCATTCTGTGAGTCTGTGATTGTATGATTTTGTTTGGGTGAAGTTACAGTTACAAACATAGTCTAGCTTTGACAGCTAACACCCGGTCTTTAGCAACTGTTCAGAAAAAGTCTAATGCTCAGGATACCCTATGGCTTCCTTTCACTAATCATTATCATTATGGGAATTATCATTTGAAACACGCAGTGGAAAAGCACATTTTGAGTATCCATTGCTTTTACCTATACTGAGTATATTCAGATATCCACACTGAGCATCTAAGACTGTGAGACAAAAGGCATTTTTGAATCAAGCTTTTCTCTTTTAGTACGTGTTGTTCTGAAATACAGGTGTAATTGTAAGTGCAATATAGATTTACACTATAATAGTGTAACATTCTCTTCTGCTTTTTGGGTTTTTTTGACTCAGCTGAATCAAGTTAGCTCTGTGAGGAATCAGAGTCCTGACTTGTGCATCAACAACAGGACTCTCTTGTTCTGACTGTGAAAATTCAAAACTTATATCCCATTTCCCAGTTTTAGAGGAAGGGAAAAATTTGTGGCAAATTCAAGGGGCTTCTTGAACTACTGTACATCCTCTTTCCTCTCAGTACTGCTAGAATTTGCCATTAACCCCATCCATCTGTCTACATGGTGATGAATAGATCCATCCACTGCATGCTGCTTAAATTCATCCAGTTGTTTAGTTAGAGGTGAAATACTGCAATACACACACATGCACAGTGCTGTCCAAAATTTTAATCTACTTAACCCAATTACATAGTAAGAGCTACTGCTGTACATACAACTGTTGAGTGTGCAGTGGCAGAATGAGACAAGTAGCAAAGTGAAAAGCACCACTTTTTTTTCTGCTGTAGGTCAGAGCAACCTGCTGCACATGCATAATGACTTTGATCAGCTTTCACATCCTTAACTGGGGGACACAACAGTGCTGTTCTTCCGTTGCTTTTCGTTTTTCTTGTGGAGGTTGGGACTATCTTTCTTTTATTCTTTTTGTTATCTTGTTTGCACTTTCACTATACAGGAGATATTTTATCTATGCATTCTGTATATTCTTTGTGCTCTTTCTAACACCTTCTTTTCTCAAAGTTGCCTTACCATAAATCAGTGTCTGCTCCACCGTAGATCTTCATGGGTGGCCGCCCTGCCGTCTCACCACAGGATACAGGAGGGTCTCTGCTCCGGCACACCTCCCCCCTCCTTTCTTCCTCCGTTCCTCCACTGACCTTGGTGTTCATGCAGCTGCAGCAACTCCTCCTCACAAGTCTGACTGCCCGTCACCACGTCCCTTCTTAAATACGTTATCGCAGAGGCACAGCTGATTGGCTCAGTTTTCATGCAGAGGTGGAGCTGACTTGGAGCTGGGGGAGCTTCTAGAAGCTTCTCACAGTGGGCTGCCCTGATAGCCCTCTCCCCTGCCACCAAAAAACTCCACCACTCACTCAACCCAGGACAGTCAGCAACATTTATACTTCCACATAAAAAAAAAAAGGAAGCACACTTGAAAAGAATCAAAACATAAATGTCACATCTGACTGCTAAATATTACATTGTTGTCAGTTTTCATAGAATCATAGAATGATTTGGGTTGGAAGGGACCTTCAAGATCATCTAGTTCCAACCCCCCTGCCATGGGCAGGGACACCTTCCACCAGACCAGGTTGCTCAAAGCCCCATCCAACCTGGCCTTGAACACTTCCAGGGAGGGGGCAGCCACAGCTTCTCTGGGCACCCTGTGCCAGTGCCTCACCACCCTCACAGGAAAGAATTTCTTCCTTATATTTAATCTAAATCTACTCTTTACTCTCTTTCAATTTAAAGCTGTCATCCCTTGTCCTATCACTACACTCCCTAATAAAAAGTCCCTCCACATCTTTCCTGTAGCCCTCTTAAGTACTGGAAGGCCACTACAAGGTCTCCCTGAAGACTTCTCTTCTCTGGGCTGAACAACTCCAACTCTCTAAGCTTGTCTTCATAGAAGAGGTTCTTGTGGCCCTCCTCCAGACTTGCTCCAACAGGTCTGTGTCCTTCTTATGTTGAGGACCCCAGAGCTGGACACAGTACTCCAGGTGTGGCCTGGAGTGGAGGGGGAGAATTTGAACCAGTTTCAAATTCATTAACAATGTAATGTAGGACATTAAATTTGTTCTTTTTTTTTTTGGCTGGAGTTTCTGTTTGGGTTTTTCTTTTTGAAATAACATTGGCCTTAATATTGTTTTTTTACCAAAGGTATCTTTTTTGACTATAGTATTGAATACTCACTGACCAACTAAAAGGTCAAAAGAGACATTTAAACACATATATATCCTTAAATCAACTGTTTTGTAGACAACAGAGCTAACAAGGCTTGATTTCCAATGGTTTTATGTCATATACTTCTCATTTCAACAACCACCCAACCCAGAAATATTTGTCATGACCCTCCCTCTGCAAAATTCCACCGTGGTCTTAATATCCACCTTTTGCTTCCATAGTAACTCAAGGTCTAACCATATTTCCTAAGTACTTCCCACACTCTCATCAGCTTTCCTTCAGGTTCCCAGACCCTTACAGAATCCTACCTTGTTTAACTACCACCTAGGCATGAACAATAATATGCACAAAGAGTTCAGTGACCAACATGTTGGTTAGCTGACTGGCTACTGTCAGAACATTTAATGGCTTCCCAACAGCAGTTACATCAAGAGAATCCCTTTTTACTACTTAGTGATGGTTTTCACTACATTTAGAGAGATGAGTATTTTTGTGACTCTCTTCTTCCACCAAATAAGGTGAAAATAATAGAAATGGTATTCAAAAGCAGAGATAAGATATCAATGACACGAGCCTGTGGGTTTTTTTCAGGAAATCAGGCAGAAGAAAAAAAAAAAAAAAAAAGAAAAACAAAAGAAATGGGGTGTTGTCAAATTGCAGTAATTTTCTAATATAACCCAATATACATTTGTTCTTTGATGCTGACTGTTTCACTCATGGGGCAACCTGGAAGCAGTGGGGAAAAAATATAATAATGTCATTTCTGGTTGCTAAAAATGGACTGGAGGGTAGGGAAGGAGCAGCCTATCCCATTACAGCTGCTCAACATCATTTCATCCAACAGCTAAAAATTAGCCTTGATATTTTTAGGGGATCCTGAAAAAGATGGAACAATTTAGAGTAGCTGCATTGAGAAAAACAAGAATGGTCTGGCTGATTTCTCCCAGCTTCCCCATGGTGACACAGCTGAGATAGATACTGTGTTCAGCATTATTCTCTCCCCAAATCTTCAAGGAGTGGCATTGTTATACCAGCTCCAGAATTCAGGACTTCTGCATTAGGCTGGAAAATTCACTGTAGGTTACAGCAATATTTCTCACTCCCAGAATACATTATCTTCTTTCACTATAGTCCTTCATGAAAAAGAAATCACTGAAGGAATACATATAGATTTTTGCAATCTTCAGTTTAGTAAGAATAATCACAAATCTTGTTACAAGTGCTTTCTTCATTCCTTCTCTTTTTCTACAGTAATATGCCATCTTTCAAGCTAGACAGTAAATTCTCTGAAGAAACAATGTCTGACTTACATGGTTCAGATTCTAATTTGAGACTTACTAAGTAAACAATATAGAAAAAAAAGAATGTATATAGCAATATCTAAAGTATTCTATATGCTAATAGAAAATGCTGCAGAAAACACAGACATAACAAAGTTATTGATAAGAAATGTAATATTTTCTAACTTCAGCTATATTATATTTACACACAGGGCATAGAAAAATCTCAAGTATACTCGCCACATGTAGAGGGACTATTTAAGAATGTTTCAAATTAAGGGAGGAACATCTTCATTATTTTCAAAATCAGTGTCACTCTTCTTAGTCTCTGTAATCCTCTCTGGCTCTAACTTAATAGGTCCTTGTCCAGTTCGCTCCCTTTCTTGAATTATCTTTGTCACATCGGGGAATGAATATTTACTAGGATCCACTTCTAATTTCTCAACTTGTCTGCTCCTGAAACAAGAAGGAAACAAATGGAAAAAAACTTAATTTCAGTACCAAATATAGCAGAACTATTTTGGATGCCTGTTTATAAAGCTGTTATCTTAGTATGAGAATTGTTACTGAGTCCAGTTAAACCAGGATTAAGACTTCCTGTAACTTGAAAATGGATTCTTATAAAAAAACGTAGTGTAACCACAGAAAAGTACTACAAAATCTCTAGGATTTTGTACAAAAGAATCCTTAGTCTACAAACATCAGAAGTTAATTTTTGGACATCTATAATTTGCTTTATATCAGAACATGATGACTGATGACATTACAAATGTTTGGCTTTTGATGTAAGGCGGGTGGTGTTAATCCAATTGTTTTTTCATTCTTTTTTTCTTTCTGTTTATTTTTAACAGTTCTTTCACACTAGTTGTCTATTAATTTCTATGTGACAGATTCACTTTTATTTAGATGTAAAATGCGATTGTACTAATTTATTTGTTTTTATCAGCTAATTCTTATGTTTTGACATTATGAATCCTCATCATGAATGTATTATGAAAAAAATTTTAAATGAAAGTATAACAAAGGTCAGAGTTGTAACAGAATTTCCAGATTCTGTTGCTATTAAGGATATTCTTTTAGATTACACTTAGAAATGTGTACAGGCCACTCATTAAGGCAACCTATCCACAACAAATGATGATCAAAGATTAGAAATATACTTTCTCTCTTGCAGCATTTAGAGCCACTGTTCTTTTCTAATAGAGGAGATCAACAATTAAATGGAAAAAATCTAGCCTGTTTTCAAGCAGTTTGTAATTGTTTGCATGAAATGTGGCAAAATGGAAGTTTAATGGTAAATTCCAACACAATTTGTATATCTTCATACTAATTTTCATTTTATACTGAGTGAGACTTTGGGTCAAAGTTCCAAGTTCAGCATTATAAAAGACGGTGTGTCACTTCAAACATATGAGAAAACTACATGTTCACCCAGGTGGTCAGAAAGGCTCATTAGAACTAGAACAAACAAAAAGGTAGCAAAGTCACTGGATGAACGGATGCATTTCTTTGATGACAACACAGGTAATGAAAACATGTAAATAAAGTATATTAAAAGATTTTTAACTGAAAATACAAAATCTTTAGTTGTTAAACAGAGTTTTGCCAAGCAGTTTCCAAATTCTGCCAGTGCTTCTCCATCAATGCCCATAAACTCTGAGCAGACATCTGTGTGCAGGATCCCTGTCCCAGTGAGGGAGAGATGCAGAGGGATTCACGGGAGTCTTCCTCTCCTCCTATGCCATGCTGAGGAAAGCATGACTACCAGAACAGACAGTTATCAGCCTAGGCACCTCTTTCAGCCTTGTGCCACTAGATTTTTCCTGTGCTATGGGAATTGTTTGATTATTGAGTGGAAAATGACCAGAGAGACATCCTGCTTTAATAGTCTGGAGAACCTTTTCCAAAAAGTAGAATAAACAGAAACAACTCAGAGATTAATTTTATGGGTGATGAAAGCAGATACAAAAAACTTTTATTTCCTTACCCTGAATGTTCTTCAATGTATAAGGTTAGATTTTCTTACACTACACAGTTTAATGCAATAAAAGTGGATTCACTATGTGGCAACATTCTAGAAAATGTTTATCCCCAAAAGGTAAGAGACATTTTTGTTTCCTGTGTAATTTATGAAATGGGTTGTGACCTGAAATCAGTTTATCAGTAGCTGTTGGGGAGATCTCAGGGTATACCTTACCCAGAATCGTAATCTAATCACTGATCAGTAATCTGAAACACATCTGAAAAAGCTAAAAAAGCATAAATAAGAAAATTAATCAGCCCTAGACAGAGCTTCCATCACATGTTGAAAAGATTTTCCTTGATTTGAAGTATTTTAATTAGTAGTGCTATGTAACATTTGTTCAACAACTCTAAAATTGTGCAAATTACTAGTCATGAAAATACAATAAACACCAGGAAGTTTAAATAGCTTATTGCTTCATAGCAGAATAAATTTCAATACACCAGAAATGAATTAACAGTGAGTGTCATAAGTAACAATGCACATCAACAAGCTATGAAAGGATTATAAACATCAGTCATTCTCAAAATTTAATAAGCACATGTTATCTAGCAGTATCTATTCACAACAGACTATAGGAAAGACTGAGAAGCAACCACAGGTAATTATTTCCAGAAAGAAAATGGATTTTTGTCTATCTACATGCACATGATCAAATATTCTATACTTGTTTAGTAGAGCTTCATAGTGCTATTTCAACTACCATGGTACAAGTATTTGGCTGATGACAAGACTCAGTTACGTTGAAGCCAGTGCAGCTATGACACACTAATCTGCTCCTCTCATCACATAATTTATGCAAAAAGAGGCTGGGTTTTGATGATGTCAAGACTAACCACCTGAAAATATTTTCCATGTAAATCTACCTAGCAGATTAAAATAATCTTGTTGCGGAAGCTCTTCCATGAGTAACAGTGATGAAAACAATAATGCTTCTTGAAAGACCAGCTACAGCTTGACTGGAAACCTCAACGTTTGCAAGTTACTTCAATTTAATGCTTAAAAAAAAAAAAAATGAAGTCCACAGTTTTTGGCACTGCTACCTGCTGCTGAGAGCTCTCTACTCAAGGGAGAATTATGGTCTAAAGATTAGAGCACCATACAAAAATAAATAATACTGTATTAAATCCTTTCCTTTTTCCTGGCAATTTTTTTTTTTCCCCTTAGAAAGGTTATTTCTATCTCCACATAGTTCAACAATGTTTTTAAAAAAGGAAATTAAAAGACTACACAATAAATGAGGTCAGTCTTAATTTTCAGAACTATAGCAGCCCGCTGAACAGTCTGGTGTGTGACAGAGCACATATCTGATAATTTGATATTTTTTGATAATTTACACTTTTGTTCACACAGTTCTTAATCCCCATATTTGATATTTAATGATTTGACAGTTACACTCCCCTGTTTCAACTTCTGACTTTCAATAAAATTTAGATTGCTAAAGATTTCTCATACGTTTGATCCAGAATATACATTTTTTTGACATTTGATGAAAGTTCTCTTTACTGCATCAGGATTTCTAAAGATATTTACAAGTCACAACCAACAGCTTTGGAGAGGCATTTTTTCCAGTCTTCTAACATTGTAAATGAAACATCACAAAAGTCATTATCATCTTAGAAAAAGTACTAATAAATATTTCTCTTGAATAAGAAAATAAAATTATTCTAGTACATGGCTTTATATCCTATTTCTGAGCTTTGAGAAAGACAAATCTTTAATATGTATGTTAAAAACTCATGGTGAATGTGTGACACTTGTCATACTTTGGTCTCTACTTTTGAAAATACAGGCTTAGAAAAATCTACTAGGTAATCTAAGCAAATAGTTATGGTTTTATAAATACTTAGAATATTAATACCTCTTTCATTGCATAAAAGGCCTTTCAAGTCTCTCAACATAACTATAATATGAAATGAACCAATAACTGGAGCCTTCATAATCAGTGGATCATTAAGAAGGTATGAATACACAATGGCTGGTAGACTTAAATTATTTTTTCAAGATCTAATCTACAATCAAGAAGAACTAATAAATCACTGGTAAAAAGTTCTGATAAATAAAAGACTGACGATATCTAGGTCATTCTGTTCATTCTGCACAAATACATCTCACAAATAGGATTCATCAGACTGAGAACATATATAATACTAGCATCCAGTTTTCTAAAAACTGAAAATCATAGTCACTGTGACATTTTCAACTCCACTGTTCCATCCCTTACCTTCTTGTGCACAGTCACTTAAAGACAGTAAATTTCAAACTGACATTGTCTATTAGCAAAGAACATGCTCCAACACCTACAATATGCAAATTGACTCTGAATTTCTAGGTCTGGCTATAATACCATCTTATTTTCACTCCTTGATTAACCCACAAAAACAAAATAAAACAAAACACTGTTAAATTTGTCAAAGTTGCATAACTGATGCTTAAACAGTAGAGAAGCTTACACTGAAAACACACTTTATTCTAACAAGGTATTGAGATTTTGTTCACAAAGTTATGGAATGTTACAAAGAGACTTTAAAGTACATCTCTGCCCTCAGTCTTTTGGTCTTGCCACGTGTGGACAACTGGGGATTATTTTAGATTGTAGCGATCAAGAGTTAACTGGACAGTACTCTTGACAATGTTTTTCTCCTGAAAGGCATGTTTCTGAAGTCTCCTCACCCTTATTACAGTTATGGATTACCAGATGCCTGTGTGTGGAAATTAATTTTCAAATCACTTCTGAGGCACCTCACCTTTTGTTCTCCTCATTAGTCAAATTATAGAGAACTAGACCCTCTACTTTGTTTAGATCCATGCCTCCATAAGAATGAAGATGAATTTATAAGACTAACTTGAGTAAAAAGCCTTTTTAATATATTGCTTAATCATACCTTACTCCACTTGCTAGTTAAGAAGTCAGTTGAATTAAAATTCCTACAGTTCCTCCTTTCCCAGATAATGTAACTTGTATTGCAAAAATTCTCCATGTCTTCATGACAGCTAACTACATAGCCTGAAAATATTATTTCTGCAAATCTATTCAGCTCTCAAGATTTGTGATCTGCTCCCAGGTATTTATAGAAGGAAAACATTACATCTCAATAGAATTGATAATTTTGTGATCTTTCCATACATTTATTCATCTTTCATGCAGGTCACAATTCAGATGCACCTAACTTTCTTCAAATTGAAATATCTGTCCTTGGTTTAGACACAGAAGTGAAGTTGGGTTTTGAAAGATCACATAAATCTTCTTGCAGTTCTTTTGAGTTAGTTTGCCTACAGCTCCATTTAATTTCTGACCTCATCTTACCTCCCATTCCCACTCTTGGGGAAATTACTCATTCTGTTCTATTGTATTTCTCTTTGCAACATGAAGTTCTCTCCTTTGCAACTTGTCAGACCTCTATCCTGTGTGTAAACTGTAGAAACATAACACTGGGAGAGATTCTCAGCCATTAAGTCTGTGGAAAGGGAGTATTCCCACACATCACAAGGATTATTTCAGGGATCCAAATTAGAACTCCTCACTCCCAAAGAAATATTCTTACCCTTAGAACTACAATTTTTTTCCCACAAATTTGTTCTTTGCATCTTCTCCACCAAAATAAACCAAGCTAAATCAGAGACATCCAGTAAATCAAGCTTCACAGTATGTCTTTTTTAGCAACACTCTTACATCTCAAGTGAGACAACTATAGAAAGTTTTTGAAATAATCAGTCTTTCATTCTTTGCTTGTTAATAAATGAAGAATTGCTCAATTAAAAAGTTCTCCAAGGAAAGTAAATTAATGCTTGTTCATCAATATGAAACTGTAAACCATAAAGGAAGATCTATTAACAAGTCTTATAATGACAAGTTTGCTAGAAAAAGGTTGGAATTAAAATCCAATACAGTCATTAAAAACACCTGAGTTATCTTGACCTCAAGTTCAACATAACTTACAGGCAATTTTATGCATCTGATGTCTCTCCCAACTAGTGAAATTTGGCTGAAAATAGATGATCTGTTCAAAAACATTTATGGGTGTACTAGCAGACAATGGTAGATATTCCAGCAGCATATGTTTTTCTTCTGTTTTCCCCTTAAGACTCCAGATGGAAAAAACAAACAAACAAAAAAAAAAAAAAAAAACAAACAAAAAAAAAAAACAAAACAAAAAAAAAAAAAAAAAAAAAAAAAACACCAAACCCTCAAAAAGCCATAAATTACATACTGCCACTAAGAACTGATTCCAGGAGAATGTAAGTCAGATTTCTAACCTAATGCATTACACAGTATTTTCTATAGCACTTGCTGGCTTAGTCATCCAGTGCACTCAGCTAAGAGGAGAAAGGCAGTTAGAGCAGTCAGATCTGCAACACTTGAACTACTCAAATAGAAATCGCCTCTACCTTACATTCCTTGTTTCATTATAAAAGATGTGTATAGACCAGAACTTGCTGATTTGTTTTTAATTCTGCTTTGTGAAGTACCCTAGAAATTGCTGCTCTATTCCTTTGCCTGTTCAAATTAATCCATTCTCTGGCTGTATTTCTCAAACTCTGTATATAACCATCTACAGTAAAAAAAAAAAAAAAAAAAAAAAAAAAAAAAATTCTCTCTCATGTATTCTTATTATCTTTCTTTACAGGAGAAATTCAATTAACTTCTAGAGACATTTTGATTTTTTTTTTTTTCAATTTGTTAAAGGAATAATAGTCTAAAGCCGAGGGTATGAAACAAGGATTACTGACTTTATGTAACTGTTACTGTCAAAATTTCCAGTATGGCTTCAGAAAAGTCAGTTCCTACCTACATCTGAATTTCACCTATGCAACTGTGGTAATCTCAACTTCTGTATCTCACAGGTGAATTGTGAGGCCAGTTACAGTAAAGAATGGCATATGCAGCTACTACATTAATAGAGGCTTTAGAAGTATAATAAATCAATCTGTCAAATTCCTCCCCTAGAAGCTTGCCTCTTTGAAGGCTTGAAATACAGTTTTGTATACAGTCACAGAAGAAACCTCTCTTACATGGCAGAAGTAATGATAGTATCATCATGTAATCTAGCTAACAGGAGTTAAAGAGATTTAAAGCATTGCATTATAACTAAGCAGATTATATGTCTGACAGCGTTTAGCTAAGACATCTGTAGCTGTCAAGTGTAATCACTGTAATGAATGTTCTTCCGTAATCTAAGAGACAACTATTCAGCAAATTTTAAACATCTGGCTAGTCAGCAACTTTTCAACTAAAGAGGTCAAAACTTACTATTTTTAGTAAGAATTGTAATTCAAAATACTTTTTTCCTATTTCTACTTTTGTGATATATGTTCGTATAACATTTCAACAGTAAAATTTGTAAATTTTCCTTCAAAAACTGCAGTAAGCATAGTCACAATTACTTAAAACTGCATTGAAATCAAATACACATTCTTGGAGTTTTGCTATGCCATGGAGTATCTTTAGTTCATCTCAGCTAGCAGGAAAGGGCACCATTTCACATTGCTTCTGTTTCTTTCATGTCCCCATTATTATTTCTATTTAAACATTTACTGTGTAGCTAAAACTAAAGGCACACAGAGGGTTCTAGGGAAATATATATTCCTAATCCACGAGTTGCCAACTCTTTTGCTGTTTGGCAGAATCCATTTGGAAGAAAGATAATGTCAGTTACCTAACGAAGAAAGATCTAGTTTTTGCCTGGAAAAAAACTGAGGCTTTTTTTAACTGATTTCTTGTAATGTATCTAAAACTTTAGCTGTTCTTCTGTGGGAAAGAACCATTCATTTTGCAAAGCAGAATCATAGAATAGAATCATAGCATGGTTTGGGTTAGAAGGAACCTTTAAAGCTCATCTAGTCCAACCCCCCTGCAATGAGCAGGGACATCTTCAACTAGATCGGGTTGCTCAGAGCCCCATCCAACCTGACCTTCAATGTTTCCAGGGATGGGGCATCTGTCACCTCTCTGGGCAACCTGTGCCAGTGTTTCACCACTCTCATTTGTAAAAAATTTCTTCCTTATATCTAGTCTGAATCTACCTTCTTTCAGTTTAAAACCATTACCCCTTGTCCTATCGCTACAGCCTCTGTAAAAAAATCTATCCCCATCTTCCTTGTAAGCTCCTTTTTAGTATTGAAAGGTTGCAATAAGGTGTCCCTGAAGCCTTCTCTTCTCCAGGCTAAACAAACCCAATTCTCTCAACCTGTCCTCATAGGAGAGCTGTTCCATCCCTCTGATCATTTTTGTTCTCTAGACCTGCTCCAACAGGTCTATGTGTTTCCTGTGCTGAGGACTCCAGAGCTGGACACAGGACTCCAGGTGGGGTCTTACCGGAGAGGAGTAGAGGGGCAGAATTACCTCCCTTGACCTGCTGGCCAGTAGTGGTCGACTTCTTTTGCAGTGGCCACACTTTTTGTGATGTAACAGAGGATATGGTTTACTTTCTGGGCTGTAAGTGCACATTGTCAGTTTATGCCCAGATTTTCATCCAACAGAAACCCTAAATCCTCCTCCACAGGGCTGCACTCAATCACTTCATCCCCCAGTCTGCATTGATACCAGGGGTTGCCCTAACCCAGGTGCAGGACCTTGCACTTGGCCTTGTTGAACCTCATGAGGTTCACATGTGCCCAATTCTCAAGCTTATCCAGGTCGCCCTGGAAGGCATCCAGTCCCTCGGGCATGTCCACAGTGCCACTCTGCTTGACATTGTCTACAAACTTGCAGAAAGTGCACTCGATGCCACTGTCTGTGTCACTGATGAAGATATAAAAATATAATGGTCCCAGTGCAGGCCCCTGAGAGATGTTGATATCCATCTGGACATTGAGCCATTGACCACTACTCTCTGGGTGCGACCATCCAAACAGTTTTTCATCCACCAAAGAGCAAATCCATATCTCTCTAATTTAAATAGAAGGATGTTGTGGGGGACCATGTCAAAGACCTTATAGAAGTCCAGATAGATGACATCCGTAGCTCTTCCCTTGTACACTGTTGTAGTCACTTCATCATAGAAGGCCACTAGGTTGGTCAGGCAAAACTTGCCTTTGGTGAAGTCATGCTGGCTGTCTCGAATCACCTCCTTGTCCTCCATGTGCTTAGTGTAGCTTCTAAGGGGATCTGTTCCATGATCTTCCCAGGCACAGGTAATTCCAAGGGTTGTCCTTTCTACACTTTTTAAAAATGGGTGCAGTGTTTCCCTTTTGTCAGTCACCAGCAACTTCACCTGACTGCCATGACTTTTCAGGTATCATGGAGAGTAAGTATCCACCATTTGGTTTGGACATTTTAAAAATATTTTAAATACTTACTAATCAAGATGGTGCACTGTTTTAATCACTCCTGCCTAAGGAAAGGGTGCAGTGCTTGTGGCTCATTAGGAATCTCAGCAAATTCTTGCAGTTGCCCTACCGTCTTCTAATTATGCAGATCATTCAAGAAAAGAAGTCATGACTGATTTTTATTAAAAATAAGAAATAAAAGCAGAATTAATGACAACTTACTCTTGCAGAGCCATTTTGCCAGTGTCCTAAATATTTAAATCAAAAAGAATACTCATGATCCATAATGCTATTTTTTACTAACTGCTTAGCCTTTCCATCAACATTCGCCATAATGAAATCAAATGAGAAAACAAAAGCAACACTTTAAATATAAACAGATAAACAGCTTAACAAACTTTGTTGTTGCTATATCTTGTTCTGGTATGAACACCATTACCTATACCAAGACAAAAAAGGAAAGATTAAAAGATACATCATAGTATTTGTACTTAAGCCAAATGCCCATTAACCCTAGGGTCTATCTACAGTAGTGGCTAGTAACACTTATTAAGAGTAAAACCAGAAAATAGTGCGTCACTCATATTTGCTTGCTGCTGGCAGTCATTCACTGCAAGAATATCAAGAGCTGGAGTTTACATCACATTTAATAGGATGGATCTATGTTATAAAACCTTGCAGAATTGCTTTTTGAACCTATTTATTAATGCGGTAGCTCAACCTGTATACCAGCGAGCAAATACATTCATGAGAGACATTCAAAATCATTGCTTTCTAAATGGTTTTCAGACTTGGGCTACATAGCAAAGAGCTCTGCAGAGGCAATTCTCAGCAGGTGATTTAGTTTTGGTATATACCAGTTTAATCATCTGAATGAGCTGATGGAGCGAAACTGATTGGCAGAAATAAGCACTTTTTTGGCTCTGCTATTGGAGCAGATCACTTTATAAACCGCACTAGACAGGCTATTAGTCTAAAGATTTTAGACAGTTCTACTCTATACAAATGAATATTTTCATACTTTTAACAATAACATAATAAGAAGCACATATTCTGGCATATGAATAACACATGGACAAAAAATAAAACTAATGCAGAAGAAAAAAAGCAATTACCTTCTTGCATTTTTTTGAGGTGTATTGCAGTCAGAATGTTTAACTGAAGTTGATACTTTTTGTTTAGCCAGGATTATTTCTTTAGCCTAAAATAAAAGTAGACAGAAAAATAATTATCATAAAAATTTATATTTAAGCTCACAAGCATTTAAATAATATCTCAAAAGTATAAAAAATAAGAGAGTCTGAATAAATTTTCTCCTGTGACATTTACTCTTTTTGTTGGATTTTAACATTCTTCACTCAACATGAAACACATGCATAAGGCAATTTTAACCAAAGTATCTGAATGGATTTATATTCAAATATGTATTTGAGTATATATATATAAGTATTTAAATATATACATCTACATGTATTTAAATATATTCTGTATTGTTTAGTACCATGTTAATAATGCACATTACTGATTTTATCCATAGCGAACTGACTGCTTCACGATGTGCCTCTCCCTTGCATTTCAGTTCTGATGTCCATGTACTAGTTCAGACGTTTTTATTAAAGAATCTGCTGCAGTCTGGACTTCTCACTCTTTATAAAAGGGACAAATGACAACAAACTCCCTCACATCCTTTGTTAAACAGAATCTCGAGTTCAAAGACCAAGGGAATTCCCCTTCTGAAAGGAAACATGTCCATCAGCGTATTTTTGAAGATGTGTTATTGATAAAAGGGTATGTGATGGAAAAAGAGGATCTCACCCTTCTTAACACTGTTATGGAATAAGGACCCCTTAAGCATTTGAGAGGAAGGAGGAGAACAGGAACTATACCAAATAATTTTATTGACTATTTCTTAGTGCAATTGATTTGAAAGTAGTCTGTTCCAGAAGCCCAAGAATTTAAAGTCCCCATTCTAAAAGCTACAAGAAACAAGACAGAGCCTGTAGCTTCTCTCTCTCATTTCTGAAATTCATTGTGAAAAGGCTGGTCCCCTCTGATTCTATGTATACTTTGGTGAAGGAGTTTGTTTATTTGAACCTTCCTTTTCTTCTCAGGAGGCCCTCTAGTGTTTTGTTCTTTTAACAATAGTTTGTTTCTTAGATCTCCTTGAGACTGATGTTCCTTACTTTGCCCCCAGAGCACATCATCAAGGATAGTAAGGAAATTTGCTGATTCTGCAAGCAGCAGAAAAGGTTTCCTTGACCAGATGTGGTCCTGGACCTTAAGGAAGGGTTAGGATTTGTCTGCTAGAACATCTATTGTCAATTATCAAATATCGTTTGATGGAAAACCTCCTCCGCTCAGATGTTCTTCTACCTTTGTTCAAAGAAAAAAAAAAAAAAAAAAAAAAAAAAGAGTAATACGCTTTAATTTTTCTTCTTTTTGAAACACAACTCCACATACAACAGTGGTATGTGAGCTTCACCAAGCCAGTAGCTGACTCCATCTCTTAGTGTTGGTGATCAAACGAGGATAACTCTTCTGGACAATAGAACTGCCACAGCTTCAACTGTGGCCAAAAGTAAGAGTTTGGGCTCAGTAGAAAGATAACTGTATGCAATTTAAAGCCTGTGGTTTACAAGAAGATGGACTAAATTAATATAATGAAGCTTTCTGAAAGTTATTCTGTGAAGCTATTTCTAATATTTGTGTTAATCAGAAAACAGAGAGGAGAACCCTTTTAAGATCTTTATCAGAGAATTCTAGAAATTGATGTGTTAAACAGAATCTAGAATATATTTGAGAAAACAGAAGGAATATGTGAAAGCAATATTTTTGAGCCGAATCATCTTTTCGGTACACATTTTTTTCCTACAGTGGCTTTCTTATTCTACAACAGGAATTCCACTGAGTAGCAGAGTTCCCTGAAACACATTTATTCTAAAGGATGAATAGATTTCTGGGGTTCCACATGCCTTTGATGGTAATGAAATATTACTGCATTTACCATATCTAAATAAGTGAGAATTATATAGTGAAATTCTATCAAATAACCTTTACACTGACATGCATAATATATACCTCTCTTATTTTTAAATTAATTAAGGGATCTAAATCTCATTGATCTTTAAATTTCTAAATGCTTTTGAAGGCTCGGTCAATAAAAAGCTGTCAGAATCCATTTGTGACTGCTTATATAATAACGAATTAATCAAAAGGCCCAATTTTTTCTCTCTGATTCACTAAAATAGGAAAGTGAAGTTTTAAAACATGACACAGAATGCCTCAGAACCTTAAATAAAAGCTGCTTGCTAGTAACACTGGGTTTTCATACTTTTCCTCAGACATTAACTAAAATATTACCTGTGTAGTCTACTGATGACATTTTACAAAATCACCAATTTAATATGCCAATTTTGGTTGAAGTTTATTAAAGAAACACTCAGTTTTCAATTTTCCTGCATCATCTGCAAAGATGACACTGCCAGAGCATAGAGGTTCAAAGTTTGAAAATCTTCATGTCAGATATTTTTTCCCAGGAATTGAAGCATGTACAATATAATCACTATCCACTCCTTACTTATGCAAGATCTCTGTACAGATGATTGTTACAGTATAAACACTACATTTTTAAAATGTCACCATATCATTTCATTGAATGTTTTATCCTTCAGTTTATTTTGATGACCTTCCAAAAAAATGTTGGTAGACACTGCCTTATTAGCAGTGATTTGTTTTGCATATATTTAAGAGAAGTGTTTCCAGAAAAGAAGGTGATAATTATTTGCTTTGTATTACTTCATGTGGAATTTACTATCTCCAACACCTGTGGTGTGGCAAGGTCATCAGAGAGGCAAGGAAAAAAATTTGGTTTTCATTTTAAAGGTTAGGGAACTATGACGAGGCTGCAAGAAGAATGGTGAAAGATTTAGTTACCTGATCAGAAACTCACTAAAGCAAGTGAAAAACACTGAATTTAGTTACCTTTCTGTTTTGTTACTAAGAGAGAGACCTTTTCAGGATAGTATTGCAAGAAACTTATTATAGGAGACTATTTTTAGGTTAGTAGCATTTTTGACATTTCAGTTACCTAAGGAATGTGTTAGGCCATTTATCTAGTTGCAAATAATTTTATTTTGATAATAGTTATTTATCAGGAACAAGGTTAAATACAGTGCAATATAGTCATTAAGCTTGTCTTATCACTGATACAGCCTAAAAGAATTGGCATGAATGCTGTTATTATCTTACTAAAAGCAATTCATATTAAATTGATGATCTCAAATCAGTATTCTCAAACATTGTTGATAACCTCAGCCATATTGTTCTGGAAGAAAAATATCTATCGGCCTTCCAGTTGTTGCTAAACTTTATTCATTGTACTTTATTTCCTAGATTACATCCCATTAATGCCAATAATATTTGTATGGATGGAGAGCATCTGAAAAGGATATGTATCCCCAAAATATAACTTTTGCACTCTAATTCAGTCCTGGGGGAAGAGAATAGATTCTGTGACTGTAATATAGAACAAAGAACAATAGGTCAGTATCTGCTACATGCAATTATTGTAAAGTATCAAAAATCCATATTTGGTGAGCAAATCCATGAAGTTCACAGGATCACAGACTCCCAGTATGGTTGAGGCTCAAACAGGGCCACCTAGAGCAGGTTGTCTAGAACTATGTTCAGATTTCTTTTTAATATGTCCAGGGATAGAGATTCTACAACCTCCCTGGGCAACCTGTGCCAGTGCTCAACCATCCTCACAGTAAAAAGGTGTTTCCTGATGTTCAGAGGGAACCTCTTATGTTTCAGCCTGTGCCCACTGCCTCTGGTCCTGTCACTGGTCACCACTGAAAAGAACCTGGGTCCATCTTCTTTGCAATATGTACCAGTAAGGTCCCCTTGAGTTTTCTCTTCTCTAGGCTGAACAGTCCCAGCCCTTTCAGCCTTTCCTTGTAGGAGATATGCTCCAGTCCCTTCATCATCTTTGTGGTTCTTTGATGGGATCTCTCCAGCATGTCCATGTCTCTCTTGTACTGGGGAGCCCAGCACTGGTCACAATACTTCAAGTGTCTCTCACCAATGATGAATAGAAGGGAAGGGATCACCTCCCACAACCTGCAAGCTACACTCTTAATGCAGCCCAGGATACAATTAGTCGTCTTTGTCAGCTCATGTTCAACCTGGTCCCACCAAGTCTCTCAGGTCCTTTTCTGCAAAGCTTCTTTCCAGGATACAAATTTTTGAATCTACTGATAACAAAGATATTAGGCCATGCAGCACTCCAATCATGCATATCTCTCTGTGTCCCTGCTACACAAGTAGTTTTTAACCAAAACAAGGCAAAGCTCAGTACATTAATTCAGTTATTCTATAGAGCTTCTCTCTCCTCAGGTCTCACAAATATCTGTGAATCATGACATTCTGAGATGAAGCAGGCTCCAGACCCTCAGGCTAGGTAAAAAATGTAGATACAGCTAAAATATCAAGGTAGGTGAAATGTAGGTGAAATATAAAGTTAATAATGGAAAAAAGGCAGTTCTCAATAACAATATAAAGAGATAATATTAATTTTGCTGATTTAGGTATGACTTTCTAGGCAGGCAACAGAGTTGAATATATCCAGAGACTCTTTGAAATATTTACATTTTCTAAGGCACTGATCATCCACAAAGAGACTAGCAAGACGTATGAGTAATAAAAGCACGTTATGGCTTAGAAAACCGATAGTACTCAAAATTTCTAAAAGATAAGTAAATATTAAACAAAACTGTTCAGAAACTTTTGAGAATTATATTAACCAAAATGGCAAATGTCAAGGCTTCAGTTGCGAAGAAATAAATTTAGCAAAGAATAAATTCTCATATGGGTGAATTTTGAACATTAACAAAGTATGTATCTTAACCAAATGAGTACAATTTTCAGCATTCTTTAAGCTCCTGGTGAAACTGCATGCTTGATGCTAGTGTGACAGTTTGTGATTTAATGAGAGGCTGTCCATGTAGGGAAAGACAGATGGTATGGGACTGGAGCATAGAAGAAAACATAGAAGGTATAGAACCACAAGTGGAAAAAGCCAAAAGCTATAAAATAACTTTTTAGTTACAGCTACTAGTTGCATAGTCTTAGAATTAAATCAGAGCACAAAGAGAAAGAAATGACCCCAAATAGCAGTTGCAGGTTCCTTCTTCAGAAGAAAATGCTGTAATTGATACATCCTGTCAGATTCATATGTAGCACCATGTCCCACTGCTCCTACACAGCAGAGATACTTACTGGAAGCCAGAAGGGTAAGGCTAGAGCACCAAGAACTAATTTTTTTCCTATATCTACCCTTGGGCAGGCCTACCCTATTTCTGAAAGCCAAAAATACATGGTGTAGTCCTAAAGACCTTAAAAGCAGCCCAACCGTCCAAAGGCATAATGACAGAAGAACAAGATGCTGAAGTTGATTAACCTCTCCCATAGCTGTCAAATCCCACCATATAGCCCATTCTTATATCCAGAATTCTACCTTCCTAAAACTTCCAGCTCCATGTCTACCCCAAGACCTTCAATCCATCTCTGCTCTTCTTGCAGTTCCAAGAACTCAGCCTTGCACCAGATGACATTAACTCCCACCTTAAGGTGCCTTCCTGTTTCTGCCATGATCCCACCCATTATGCCCCAAACCTGAAGATACCCATGCGACTCAGATTTTCTCTGCCCCTTTTATTCTGGTTCACACTGCTGCATCTTCCCTGTATTTAAGGTCTAATGCCCCCTAAGATTCCACTGGCTGCTGGTTGGCCACCCACTACCTCTCTCACTGCCTGCTTCAGTAAGGCAAGTTGACCTCCCCGTCTTTGACTGTTCCTCATTACTGGTCATTCCTTCTCTATTTTCAGATGTGTGGGAATGGGTAGGAAATGTCCTGATTCCACCCTTGATTCTACCTCATCTACTCATTATGTCATTCCACAAATTAAAATACCACTTATGTATTTAGGGTGCAAGCTACATTTACTGAAACCTGAAAAAGACACACAGTGGAGAGGAAATAAAGTGGACATACATATCGGTTTGCCCTCATTTACACTGCAATGACAGGGCTGGACAGGGAATACAAAAAACATTTTAAGCCAATTCGCTTTTACTTGCCAGCAGAACTCTCAATTGGCTTGAATCCTAATCAGCATGACACCATACAATCAAGTATCAGAGCACAGGTGAGATCAGAGAGCACAGAGTTAGGAACATTAGGGGAATATGACTTCTACTATGGCTTAAGTACTAGTGACTATTGTGCAGCATTTTTCAGTTGAAACACCATTTTGCCACAAGCATTTTGCTCCGTGATTACATACTTTGTACAGCTGGTCAGTGCATCCCTTCCAGCCAGGGAAAGCATGAAGAGAAAATGAATTAAGCAACTCTTGTCCTTATCACCTGAGACATGAGAGTAGCACATCATTCCTGTCCTTTAACCAAAAGGTAAACTTCATGTGTGCTGCACAAATTTTGAAAAATTGATTTGTTTTTATTTCATGGGTGGAAAAAGAAAGTAGGTAAGTTGCTTATTTTCAGTTATTTAAAAAATGCATCTTACACATTTGCACATTACTGCATGTTTTGCAGAGTCTCTTTTCATATATAACAAGCTGGTTTTGTTGAAAAGAAAGGAAATACAAATAGTTCTATTAACACTGATTTTCATAATGTTCCTGTAAAGGGATTTTAAATCTTAAAGTTTGGCTCTACGATTAATTTGTCTTTCTGGAATGTTCCTTCTTAGAAAATATGTCCTGATGGGAAAGGCTAGACTGAATAACTTTAGCAAGCCAGATGTTACCTGTAACTCAGAGACATTCCCAAAGTATTCGCAACGTTTAAGTATCTTTGTATTATGCCTCCTCAAACTATTTTACATACCTTTGGCATGCTGACAACTAAATGACCAGTTGTTTGTGATCTTTTAGCAGAGCTGCTGTCTGGCTTCACTTCCTCGGGGAGCACAAACTGAAATGGCTATGAGAAAACATGGGATTGAAGTATATCATTCTAAGATATCTCTTTTTTTTGACGTGGACAGAACACATGCAGAAACATCACATCCTTTGATCGTAAGGACAGTATAGGTCTAAATCTTTTAACTTTGTATGTAATATTACTAGTCCTAATAACTTATTAGCATGCTAAACAGCTTTTACTTACAAGTATAGTCATATGTATATACCTGAATTGCTGTCATTCCTGAAGTGTCATTTCTAAAGAAGGTTACAAAATGATGCTTGACTTATATTAGCAATTAAATGAGAAAGATTATCCAATCTATTTTAGATGTAAAGTAATTTTGAAGTTTTGTTTTGCACTTGGTACAGTCAAAAATAGTGATTTTTGGTTTACTGTTTAAGTACTTTGAATTTTTCAAAAAAAATGATAATATAATCAAAACCACCGAGAAGAGAGAAAATTGGAATGACATTTTAAATGTCCCTTCAAAAGAATATACATCCATTTGTTTCTGTCAGCTCTAAATTCCAAATTGTGAAATTGCTAAATTCTAGCCTAGGGCCACTAGCAAGCTCTCTTCTTGAGTGAATTATGGTACACTGTGGGTGGGGGATAAGAAGAGATAAGGAGGGAAAGAGAGGGAAATTTCATTTCAGGCTTTGCACATCTTCTGGTTATGACTTCCACAGTTTATGTGTGGTCCAAAATAATACAAGTACAAAAGAACATTTTTTCTGCATAGGTGTACATGGTTGGTAACTCATAAAAATCAGATCCAGAATCCACTGAATAGTTATCAACTCTTGAGTTGAACTGAATGTAATAAGAAAATACTAACCTTTCCCTTCACCAGCACTCGTACGTAAGTTGGTTGGACATCAACATCAAGAAGAGAAGTGTCCAAATGTCTTCAGAATGAAATATAAATAAAACAATCAATCTACAATACAGTCCAGTAAATAAGCAGTGCAGAGCATATACCACTTTAATGATGATTTTGCAGTTTATAAACTACAAACTTCAATTTCAGTTGTTCAGTTATATGAAATATTATGATTTAATGTCTTTGGAAGAAAAACATATTCCTGTATGTTCACAGAGTGTAAATTAAAATAATGTCTAAATTCTGTCAAGTCCACCACATCAGCTATTGTATAACTACAAGAATTCAAAATCTTTGTAGAAAATGAAAAGGTCTTTCTTCTATTAATTTAGTGCTTTACATTAATATGAAAATTAATCTATTTGCTATTTAAAACTGTAAAAGTACTTCTTTACTTTTCTTTCAGAATGCTTAACTAGTAAATGTATAACAACTATTTTTTTACACAGAATTTGCTGGAAAACAATGAACAGAAATACTTTGTATTCCCAGAAATCACAGTTCTTTTAAATTTCAGTACTGTCAAACAAAATTTGTGACCTGTAAAAGTTCCACTTTAACATTTGCTCTTCATCATGTGACACATATGCTCATGTGAATGCACAAGTATGTATTCCCTGTTTCCTTTTTTTTATAAAATCACTTCGCAGATGACTTTTTCAAACTTTTTAGCCTGCATTTCTTACAGGTAAGCATAGAATATTACAACATATCCAACATTTTACTGCACCTGAACAGGTTTTCTGATGCTCCAAAAAAACCTTATTCTTATAATTCAGAAACATGGACCAGGCCTCTTTCGAGGGAAATTAATTAGCTTTAAGGGAAGAACACCTGGCATGAATAGTGTTTCTGTGCTATAAAACTAGTTCAAGCTTTAGTCCAACAATTCTTGTTGTGAATAAATAAGTTTGTGGGTTTCCAACCCCTTCTTGAAGTGCAGGCAAGGCCACTGTACTGCTTAGGGGTATATGCTATCAAATAGTTATCAGGTATCCTTGTGATATTTTAGCCTGGTTCAACCAAATTTCTTCCAGGCAACTGAATTTCTTCCACAGTTCTTTAGCCTGGTTCAACCAAATTTCTTCCATAGTTCAAGAAATATTATGGGCCATGGACTCTTTCCAGTGAGGAAGGAAAGTAGGACAAGTCTACCTTACTTCTCCTGTTGGGGAGGAGAAGAATTTCACTAGAAGAACATGGATTGTACTAGAGCATTTCTAGGGCCAGAGAATGTGTAAAAGCCCCATTCCTTACAACCTTTACCTGCAAATGAGGTATGGAAAAGATTTTATATAAGTATAAAAGGACAGGTGTAGAGGAAACATTACTGCAGAAAACATCAATTCCAAAAGGGACTACTAGACACAATCCTTATTCAGGAGTAACAGAACAGTCTCAGAGGTCTTTGGTTTATTCAGCTTAATTTCTTTGGCACAGAAGTCAAGATTGATTCCATTGCCCCTTATGTTATTTGTTTTCCTCCTGAAAAGTCCCCACTACAGAGAGGAGTATAATTGAAACACTGTGTATTAGAACTTGATTGGGAAAAATTAAGAGGGAAAAAAATATAATTCTGACCTGTAAACAGCAAGATCCAAGATGATCTGGTTGTTTTCTTCATCATCTTTCAAAGAGAAATGAAGCCTAATAATAATGACAAAAACACCTCCAGGATAAATACAATTGGAGTGAATAAGCAAACATTACAGCAAACTTCAGCTGCTATCAAAGTTAGATGAAAACAAATACCATTTAGACAGTATGGCACACGATCATTTTAGAAACAGTTGTAATTTTCCTCATGAACAGAAAAAAATACAGGTGTTTGAACCAAATTCAATCTTATATTTATTTTCTGTTCTCCCCACCCAACCCACAAGAAAAAAAAAAATACTGCTGAAGGTCAGTGAAAATTAAGATCAGTCTGTCAATGCAGAAAGAGAGACATCTGCTGGTGAAATCTGTCTGTTCTATAAACATCTTCATAGAAAAAAACAGTTCATGAAAAACATGAAAAGCCTGGAACTTGGTAATTCTAACGCTACCATGTGTAAAAAAAAAAAAAAACAAAAAAAACAAAAAAACATCTTTTTTCATACCAATTAATTTGCCTAGAGTATATCTATCTGCCTGTGCATTTCTGAAGTAAAACATGATTTGCACAATATCCTTGATTCTACAAGCTTTATTATAGTTGTTGAAAATGAGACTATCGATTGTATTAGCTGCATATTTGTGATTTGCTGGCTGAGTTATTAAAATTGTGAAAGAATCTTACCTGTCACAAATTAAAAACAATGTCTATTACTACAACTGTAAGGAGATCTGGTCTAGACTTGTAAGTTCTGCTAATATACTCAAACATTTCCTATATATTAAAGTAGAGAAAAAACAGAATAAAACTCATCTATAAATGAGAAGATTTTTATAAATTAGTTATTAGTATAACTCAAAATGAGAGGGCTTTACTTAATGAAATTTATCTGGAATATTTCAGTTTCAATTAAAATACTTAGATACTTTGGGTTTGGGTAACAGAAAGAAAATCAAATGTTAAGAGTTTTGATAATACATTTTTTCAGCAACAAAAATATTTGCCAGATATATTCTTTGTTGTCCTGTATTCTGATACAGCCAATTTGCAAGAAAGTTTACAGAGCTTTTAGTTTATGGATATTTTTTGATAGATATCTGCAAAGAATACAAACCAGCTCTTTTCCCATTCATGTTTTTTTTTCCTCTTACTGCATTACAGATTTTGAGAATTCACTAAAACATGAAGGGTAAAAAAGAGAAAATAATTGTAATATTTTCTAGGGGAAGATTAATTAGAATTGAGGAAGAGAAAATTCTGTTCTCATCAGAGAAGCTTGGACATTGTTATGGACATTACTTTCGCATTGAAGCAAAAATTTTGGAGAACATCATCTGTCTACTTGTATATCTTTATTTGTGTCTCTCCAATACACTGCCACATTGCTCTGAAGCGCTGTGATATTTTTATTGAAGCCATGACAAAAACTACTCATTGATCTAGCTTTATGTGGGCGTATCCACAGACTAAACTTTAATCCAGAAAATTTGGGTGACACAAGCAGGACTGCTTCTAACAGTGGAATCTAGGGGACTGTATTTCTTCTAAAAAGATAGCTAGAGCTTTAATCTAGATGTCTCTGCTTTTTAGAGGCATAATCAAATTCTATTAACACAAGATTGAAACTATTTTAGACTTCTCTTTTTTTGAACTAGAAAATGATTTAAATTTTTTTTTCAGTCAACGCATTTTTACAAAAAAAGTACATCAATACAATCGTATCTTCAGGTACAGATGAAATAAACACAAGTTCTTCTGCCACTACCTTTAATTTTCCTTATACCACTGAAAATTATGCTCTGATCTTATAACGTAGGTTTTCATATTCCTTGTATTTGCATGGATTTATAAATTTCCAAGATTTAGAAAGCATTCTTCATGCTAATGATAAACACGTTCTTAGCTTTGATTTTGCATCTAAATTTTTCCACATTTAAAGTGGCTTCTTATACACATTTATCTTCAATAGTCAAACCAGTTAAACTTTTTCCACTATTAGCAAGATGCTTCAAGAATGAGAGCCTTATTATAGAAAAGAGTGAAACATATCTTTTACAGAAAAACAAGTTCTTCAATCATCAAAGACCAAGATGTTAAATTAAACAACATTCAACACTTTACTCACTGAAAACTAATTCTTCCTCCAGCATCAGAATATAAATTTACAAGTCAGTTTCCCCACCAGGAATATAATAATACAACAAGAATTTATCAGCCCTCTTATTTTACTCTTGTCTCATATTTTGAAACAGATGCCCAAATCAACTGTAAAGAGGTTAACCTGTTTAACCTCTTAACCTTACATACTTAGGCACGTTCACATTCAGAACTTTTCCTTCTGCAGTGACCAATGTCCAAGGAGGCTTCTCTCTCTTTTTTGATTCCCTTAACAAAACAGAAAGAAAAATGGTTTATAACTTCACATTCTGGTATTTTATGTTTAACAGCAAAAAATAAAAGAGAGGATGGCAAGAGAAAAGAATTATCTGTTATGTGATGCTAAGGCTACAACTTATTTCAGGAATTAAACAGGTTATATCAAATGTCGAATTGCACATTGAAAGCATCATCTGAAGATGAGCCAATGCTCTGTAATATCACGTCTTACATTGACAATAACATCTTCTGCATGTCACAATGTCCATTATCAAACAGCAATGTCTCCAATTTGTTTGGTGAATCTAAAGAAATCAGAGGATTGCTTAAACGTGTGAAATAGGATGCTTTTCTCGTTATCAATGATTGTATTAAACATAAGATATCATTACTGTTAACTGATCTGATGTATGTGCCAGCAATTCTAAAGAAAGTTATTCTTCATGATAATTTAATTACTTTTACTGAACAAATGTTTGGCATAACTCTAAACAGCATGTCTATCAGTTGCTATTCTGCACTAGTAAAAAGAATTTTAATGGTCAAAAAATTGCAAGCAGCTCCCAACAGGATACGGTATGACCAAAGTGCATACATACAGATTACTTGTTGATGCATCTATTACATTTTTTGTTGCGTTCTCCTTCAAAAAATACAATACATATTACTGATGGAGACTTTAAACTTCACTATATCCAGCTATCAGCAATTAAACTATATCTGTCTTTCATTCACTGCAATAAACAAGCTACCTTAAATTTATCTACCAAAACGAAGCAGATCACTGTTAGATCATTAAGACTTTTAGTATGGGTATTTTCTGTATAAATGTTTAGATCATGAGTAAGGAATCTTAGTAACATGAAAAAGAAGAATCTGCTTGCACCTAGGTAAAAAATGGCAAAGTTTTCTTTAAAAAAACAGCACTGTAGTTGTTGCTTTGCATTAATCCACTCTTCAGATGGTCAATATAGTGTGTATGTCTATGTATGTCTACTTCAGTTGGCATATAAAACCCGCCCATTTCTCAAGAAGATTACATCAGTACATTGCTTTTTGTGTTCCAAAGCCAACTTCTTACTATAAATTCAAAATTAAAAGAACACTAAATATAAATCAGTGATGAGGGAAATAAAGTATGTAAGGTTTAGACCACCTCAAGAAAAAAAAAACACAGAAAAATATATGGTCTATAAATACAATGGATTTAAAGAAGAAATGAAAACATTCACGTGGAGCTACTGAAATGACTACATAAAAACAACTTCTGTTTAAGATAGATTCACAACTGTCCTTGTGTTAAATATTATTCTGTGGTATTAATCAGATCTTAAATCTGGGATTTGTGAGCTAGCAGTTTCTACACCTGATTCCCTACTATTGACACTTAAATGCAAAGTGAAGGAACCACCACTGTTCTAAAAATGCAGCTGTCAGAAATTCTTCAGACAATTATATCCTACCACCTTTTAGATGCTAGTAATTTATTTCTAGATGAAATATGTCTGCTCATGTGAACAATTTGAAGGCAAGTTCACTCATGTCATAATCACTAGAGTTTAAAATAACTTGTTTAACTTTGTTCTGAGATGAGCTGAAAGGCCTTGTTCTGACAATGAGCAGCTAAAGAAGATCCTGTTCACCTTTCACCTGCAACTGATTTTACACTTGCCTGAACATTCTTTGAATGAAACTGCAAGTATTCACTCATTTGGAAATAGCCAAAACTGCTCAGATAATTATCAGCTACGGAGCTATACCAGAGCTGACAAATTTAACATGTGTTAATATGTCATAGAGAGGTTCAAATTTAGCATTGGTCTGATTGAATTCATGCCAATTTTATACTAAAATAAACATCCTTTTATACTGAGTAGCTTTAATATTAAAGTTACATTTCAGCTCCTGTCCATCAGCAAGGATGATTTGAAGTTGTCAGGGGCACTTCTCTGTTCTGACCTTTCTCATGCTAACACAAATCTCACCACCAAAACAAAATGAAACATGAAAGGATTTTTAACTCTTTAAAATGCCTTGGAAATTTAGAAAAATCCAGAAGGGAACTATTCTATCTTTATGATAATGCTATTTGGACTCTTTTTGAATATTTAAAAGAAAGCATTTGGAACACATTTGCTTTTGACTAGATCAAGACCTCCCTACACACAGCAAAATTCTAACTAGCTAGAATCTGGGTTTCACAGTAGTTCTTCTGGGAAAGTGCTAGACCTTGAATTAATAATAGCAACACATTATGCAGATTTCCAGATTTCTTGGAGAGTTCCCTAGGTCTGACTTTTTCAATACTTAGACTTGATAAATCTTTTAACATGCATGCCCTTAAAAAGAACAGCTAGAAAAATCTCTGGCACAAATGCTGTTATATAAGGAAAAAAAAAAAAAAAAAAAAGACATTGCTTACAATGTTTGTGGAACTGATAAGCCATCAGCAATAAAATAACTGTTTTTCTTAGTATCTGCATTAATTTTACATGTTCAGCAAAACTAGTGACAACTCTAGAAAGTTTTAAAGCCCAGACATCGTCAGATTCACCATGCCAAATAACACAGATAACATGAAGTATCTTATTACTTGGGATGGATATCTTCAATAAAGTATGTGAAAAAACTTCTAAGTCACATAGAAAAGGTGCCTGAAATACCACTTCTGCAAAAATTTTTTTAGCATGGCCTATAAGGTATTTATATAATGCAATCTGCATTCCAGATAATTTTTTCTAGCAAGAATATTAAACATTGAACTACACAAAAACCACTAGTTAGCTGACAAAAAAATGAAACTTCTAAAGTCCATAAAAGAGAGTTGAAAAGATAAATTATATTTAAAAACTCTATTTCAGGAAAAACTAAATAAAGTGTATCATAAATAAATTTTAGAAAATAAAACAAAACAAAATGAACAATCTGAATATTTCATTTAGATTTTATAAGTATATTTGCACAGACAACAGGGATTTAAGCTGCCAGTTCTCAGCAATATTTCATGTGAGACAGTCACCTACCTATTCTCCGTGTCTTTGAAAATTTCTCCTTCCTCAATTCATAGAACATATTAAAACAGAAACATACCTTACACTGTCTTTAGCTCTTCGTTTTTCTTCAATATATCTGTGAGTTTCTAATCTAGATTCTGGAGTATATGGTGTAGGCTCCTCCCAAAATCTTCTGTCTTCTTCATCATCTTCAACTGTTCTCAACATTTGTTGTTCTCCATCTCCTTCTGACTGACGGTTTTCTTTGTCCTGTGGGGAGTCTGGGCTACACAAGTTCACATGGAATATTATCCCAATGAAATGAAGGAAGAGTAACAGTACTTGCTAATGAATTCATGCAATAATATATTTTTAACCCAATACTAATAGCTGTATAATTCCTACTAAAACCAGTATTGGATAACATTTGCTGCTCTGTTTTTTTCATGAATTAACAAAACATATTTCAACATAATGTTTTTCATTGACTTAACTAAGAAGTGATACTATGGTTATGCCTAACTCTCTGAAAACCCTGATGGATAGTTTAACAGATTTAATGTCAGAATTTTCAGATACCCTCATAACTCTCGGGTGAAGGAAAACCTTCAGTCCATGTGATGTTTAAGTATTCCTAATATCAGGCAACACCAGATTAGAAATATATAGGGCAGCGATATTTTATTTAAGCATCTCCTTAAGTGCCATCTTAGAACCTGAATCATTTTTTCCCCCTAGCCTTAAGCCTATGTAATCTTCAGAAATTCTCTATTGAGAGAAAACTAAATTTATGATACAGCGGTGATCTACGAGGACAAAGTTCCATAGCCAGCTCCATGGAATTTAGTCTCTATTGGATTAAAAATAAGATGGATGGCAACTGCAGTGGAAGATGACCCCAGACAAAAATCCTTCTGCTGTCTAGGTAATCTTAGTGATATTAGGTGGAAGAAGAATAGAAATCAATATTCTATATCTTTTTACATCTCAAGAGATCTGCTATATTACATTTCAGTCTTCATATCTAATAACTCTAAAGCAAAAGAAATTATAGGTGAACAGCTGCTTTCTCTGGAACCCCTGCACTAACTTAAATAACAATTTCCAGCTGTTCTCCTGAAAGAAGCTATCAATTACGCTATTTTGGAACCCAGACAATTTAGCTTGGAGTTTTGGGACAAAAATTCTACTGCACTTTCTGCACTTCAGTAATTAATTATGTTTGTAATTAATTATATTTTTCACTAGCGATAACATACACAAAGAGAAATAATTCTCCTCTAATCAACAATAAATACAAACAGAAAGATTTAAGTGGAATTACATAAACTATTTAATGAGGAAAACCAAAATTCTTAATGAAGAAAGAGAAGAATGATGTTTGCTCACAGACTGTTGTTGCTTACTTTTACCTGTCAAATCCAAGTTTAGTTTCAATTTGGTTTTGTTTTTTATTCTTTCTTTCTTGCATTCTTCTCTGAGCCTCTTCTTTTTCTCTGGCCCTTTTGAGAAGGTAAGCTTGTTCCTGTTCTCTGATTTTCTGCTTCACTTCTGGATAGATTTGAAGTGCTTTAATCCTCTCCGAACGTTCTATTTCTTTACTATCCAAACACTTTCCAAAGGGAAGAAAAATCAATATAGTTACGTGAGAAATTTTAGATGTATACTAATCAATAAATACATTAAACTATCAGTTAATTTTGTTAGATTATCTTCTGTATAAAATCAAAAATATGTCTTTCAAAATTTCATAGCACTATGTAAATTATACCATATTAAAAAGAATTAACAATAGGTTGCTATTCAGATCTGAAAATGGTTTTGTGTGTCTGAGAGCTTCTTTTTACATTTTCCAGGAATTTCATCTGATCTTATTAGACTATGTAGTAGAGAGAGTCCCTTCAGCCATTTCTGATATTTATCTGATATTCAGCTCATGAAGCTATTACAGTTTTTTTTCTTTTGATATGTTAGTTTATTATCAACTAAGTGAGTTGAATCTACTCTTAATAAGTTAAGCAAGCATCTGTATTTCTCCAAGGAAAATTGTGGGAGCATATTTCGGGACTGGAGCTGCCCTTGTCAATGATAGGAAATCATTATATCAGTTCAGTCATTGCACAAAACCTCAATCTTAAAGTATCTATTTACAGTCAGTGCAACATAGTGTGTTGTTACATCAACTTCTGTCTTTCTACTGCCTAACACTGTTGGTTTGGTACATATTGTTGGTATGGTACCAGCAACCTGGTAACTTTCTGCAGTCATTAAAACAATTTAAAAATACATCATGTATATAAAAGGAAATGGGAAAAAAAGCCAAAACTGTATATTGTATTTATTTTTTCATAACTTTAAGGATCTCCAATAAAACTGACAGAAAATTAAACAAATGCATGTGGTTTAGTCAAAACACAACCAATTTATTATCACATTATTTACTGTAATCACTTATTCTTCAGAATAAGATCTGATTTCCTGTGGACAGTAAGAAAAATGCTACTAGCTTTCCTATCACAGGCATTTATTTTGTTTGGAATTGGTATGTTCAGTCAACAATGTGTTGGATATAAATTTAATTTTTAAAATCTTACTTTTAATTGATGAAGAGTTGCCACTACAAATTGTCTATAACCTTCAAATTCAGTACATGGGTTACCCACTAGAAACAGTTCCTTCAGATGTATATTATATTTTAGGGTTTCAATACTGGAGAGTTCACCAATGAAATTTGCTGTCAGGTCAAGTTTCTTCAGTTCTTCACAGCCTGTTTGAAAAAAAAAAAAAAACACCTTAATTCAATTTGTCCATAACATAAATGTACACAGGACATACAAACACACACACAAGCACACATACACACACACACACATGCACACACTTGGCTACAAAACTGTCTGTGTTTGTTGACTGTATACTAATTTTATCCTATCAGAATATACCTTTTCCAAGCCACAAGTGAAAGAGTGACTCACAGCTTAAGTTTATGAGGTCACAATATTTACAGAAAAAAAACCTCCATAAAATACAAAATATCAAAACCTATTAATCGTTTTATCACTATCAACACTTTGTAGTGAGTGTTGGTATACTAGATGAGCTATTAAATGATTTGTTTTTTAATAAGCTGGACTTCAGTCTTAAAAGTCTAATTGCCTCAGTACCCCTCCTCAACTGAGTCTTCATCATATGGCTAAAAGGCTGTCTAATTGCTTCAGGAGAGCAGGATCAATTATGGGTTTAATTTCTATGTACTGTTAATCTTAGCTAACATTATTCAAGTATAAAGTTGAAATCTGAAAAATCACTCCAAGTCAAGATGAGGTTTTCCACTCTATGGACTCAGCTATTATTGTGAATACTTCATCACTGCTTAAATTGTAAATATCAGTGAAAAAAAAGTTTTTGTTAACCAAAACAATTCATTATAAACAGAAACTCTAAATTAGATAACAAAATACCCAGGGAAATCTAGATCCAAAACTTATCAGGCTCTCCTTTTATCATAATCTGTCCATGAATCATAACCTTGACTCTAAGAGTAAAAAAGTTTAGCTAAGAGCAAGCCCAACTTTGATGCTCATCATTGTCATCACTTCTTTTCCTTTGTAGGTTTATTTCACAAGAATTTTATGCATAGTGGAGCTGAAAGAAAATAAACTGCTCAAAATTATTTGGTAGGGGATTTAAATAACCCAAATTTTTGCAAGGCTGACTCCCAATGGTTCTGACTCCTAAGTAAATGACAAATCACAGTAATAAATAATGCAGCCTGATAGAGGAAATTAAAATTTACTGCCATGAAAACAAATGTAAGTTTCTCAGCAACTTGCCAAATATGTAATGTGTTACCTATTTCTTCAACTTTTACAGATTTGTGTTTAGCCTATTTGTTTATTTTTTTAATTGGATTTAAGCCATCCTCCTGAATCAGTTTGTAGACTCGAAAATAAACAAACCAAACCAAATCAAAACCCAAAACAAATAAATCCAGCTTTTAAAATTATTATTATTATTGTTCATTTGTCAAGATGGACATTTGAAAGATTCAGCAACTGGTCTAATCAGAATCAAGAAAGAGAAAGGAATCAAGTCAGAAATTATTCAAGTAATATGGAATGTGTTTATAGATGTCTCTAACTTTTAGATTTTCATCTTGGAAAATGCTAGATCTTTGCACATGCAATTATAGTGACAGAATAAAGAGTTAAACACAGATAAAACTGACAGGACTTCATGCAACGACAGAGAAAAAAGTAATCTGAAAATTCTTTAAAGATACCCCAGACTGCCAATGCAACCCGTGCACAGAGTAGAAACTTCTTGTGTGTGACAGTTGATTGATGAATGGATGACTGCTGAAATGTTACAAGAGAGACTTTTTACAGCCTGTATATCACTATTAAAAAAAAAAAAAAAAAAAAAAAATTGCTCCACCTAACCTGCATAATAATTATCTTACCATTACAGCGGGGCAATACCAATTTAATGAAAAATTTGAATTCCCACTTTGTAAAGTTTTAAAGAATAGAGCTATAATGGCTGGAAACACTGGTGAGAAAGTATGCGAAAAGTGAGTTAAAATACATTTAAGAAAGTTCAATGACAAAATTTCAGCAGGAGGAAGCACTTGCTACAAAGAAGCATTTGTTGAAACACTGACACCAAAGGGCTCAGTGTACCTTTACACAGTACCTTTGCTGATTGACATACTTAATGGCTTCCACCCTCTTTTACACTAAGTCACAACTTAAGTGTTTAATATGAAAAGGCAAAATGGTTTGTTTAAAATCTGACCTTCAAGATTTTCAATTCTTTCAACGTTGTTCAAAGCTACATTTAAATATTCCAGCTTCTTTAGTTTGCCCACATTTTCTGTAACAAAACATGCATCTGTTATTTCAGGTTTTTTCACTGGAAAGGGCATTATCATTTTACTTGCTCACTTCAAAAAGACAATAAAGCAGAAAAATAGGAAGAACAAATTAGAATATGTATCAGATTATTGGTCATTATTATTTTAATATCAGTAAAAATATAAAACCAAAAATGTTCTGTGAAAACACAAATGAAAATAAAAATGTAAAAAGAAATAAAGAAGGCTATAAACACATTTTTGTCACAAATCTATAAAACAAGTATAGAATGCAAGACTGGCCAAAAAGCATGGTGAAACATTCAATTGCTCATGAAACTCAGAAAGTGACGCTGTCTTGCATGACATCCTTGTCTCTAAATTGGAGACGTGGATTTGACAGATAGACTACTAAATGGATAAGGAATTGGCTGATAGTCACACTTAGACAGTTGTGGTCAACAGCTCGATTTCCAAACGGAGAGCAGTGATGAGTGGTGTTCCTCAGGGGCTGGTGTTGGGACCAGAGCTGTTTAACATCTTTGTTGATGGTATGGCCAGTGGGAGTGAGTGCACCCTCAACAAGTTTTCCAACAACACAAGCTGTGTGGTGCAGTCAACAAGCTGGAGGGAAGGGATGCCATCCAGAGGGACCTGAACAGGCTTGATAGGTGGGCCCATGTGAACCTCATGAAGTTCAACAAGGCCAAGCACAAGGTCCTGCACATGGGTCAGGGAAATCCCAAGCACAAATCCAGGCTGGGCAATGAGTCGATCAAGAGCAGCCCTGTGGAGAAGGAGTTGGGGGTGGAAAACTGATTATGAGCCAACATTGTGTGCTGCCAGCCCAGAAAGCCAACCATGTCCTGGGCTGCATCAAGAGAAGCTTGACCAGTAGGTCAAGGGAGGAGATTTTCCCCCTCTACTCCACTCTTCTGAGACCTTACCTAGAGTACTGTGTCCAGCTCTGGGGCCCCCAGTATAAGAAGGAGATAGACCTGCTCAAGTGGATCCAGAAAAGGCCATGAAGATGATCAGGTTGTTCAGCCTGGAGAAGAGGAGAGTCTGGGGAGACCTTATAAGGCCTTCCAGTACTTAAAGAGGGCTACAGGAAAGATGGGAAGGGACCCTTCATCAGGGAGTATAGTGATAGGATGAGGGGTAACAGTTTTAAACTAAAATAGAATAGGTTTAGATTAGATATAAGGAAGAAATTCTCTACTGTGAAGGTGGTGAGACACTAGCACAGGTTGCCCAGAGAAGCTGTGGCTGCCCACTCCCCGGCAGTGTTCAAGGCCAGGTTGGACAGGGCTTTGAGCAACCTGGTCTGGTGGAAGGTGTCCCTGCACATGGCAGGGGGGTTGGAACTAGATGATCTTTAAGCTCCCTTCCAACCCAAACTGTTCTATGATTCTATGAAAGGATCAGGCCATACTTAATCAAGCTTTATAAAATTGGAGTTTTATATTCACTCATATAGAAAGCATTGTCTTCTTCTGTATATATTTCATTTTTTAAAATCTTTTATCTACAGGGTTAATAAAAGAAATTTTCTCTCTTCCCTTTTTTTAAAATTTTGCAAATAAGGATTTGTATGGCTTCAGTATGAACAAAACAAAGCCACACACAAACACTCATACTCCTAGTCTGGCATCTAACATGTATTGTTTTCAGCATGAACTATTGAAATTAGCAGGTCCACAATGCGTGGGGTTGTGTCAGAATGGCTAGCATTTTCTTTTGAATACAGAAAGGGGTAAAGAGGGAATAGGGTAGCAACGACCTTCACCAGACTTAAAATTGTCTGAAAAATGCAATTACCACTTGAGATACCTGGCACACAGGTCAGAGACATAAATCTGAGACAAGACACATAGTATAGCTTGTGTCACAATTCACCAATTTCTCCCCAGTCACCAGATGTTCTGAAGATCTGACTAGAAATCCTATCCAATGAAGTCATAAAGTTTACCTCAAACTCTAAGTCACAAGCCACACTGATTAAGTGCTGCACAAACTGTCCCTGCTGAGACAGAGAAGTTCAAGCAGAGGGAGCTTCATCTGACCAGCACAGATCATGTATACAGCTGAGTTAGTTGTCTAGGCTCTTCTATAATCGATAAAGAGAAATAGGTTCTTCGAGGTGCAATCTGTCTTATCTTAAATTGGCTGTCTAGAACCAGCATACCAAATCATGCCCAAAAATACACCTTTTCTTATTCATTGGTTATAAAGGGACGCTACAGTAACTTCCTAAGACATAGATGTCTAAGAGTTTGGTGACATGAATCCTACCACTTAGTTTACTAAGACCTTGGAGAGATATTTTTTTCATAATTCACAAACAGAGGATGAAATTAATTTCTCTGCAAGGACTTGTGCAGCTTAGGTTGGCTGTTCATTTTTCTTAACATATTTCTGTAACAGCAGTAATGCACAAAGATGTGAGGGAGACAAGTGTTGAAGCCAATGGTATCTTGTGGAGTTTTTTCCATTTATAGAAAATAAAGGAATGAGGACTCATCCATACAGTGGATGCCTTACAGATTGCTGCCTGATTAGAAGGCAAGTGTGATCCTGAGGGATGTATAACGGTTTTGTTTAAGAAGAGAAAAGGCACATCCCCACAGAGTCAATATAAACCATTCAAGTGTGCTTGGAACTGCTGTGTGTTCTGCATGGACGTGTTGGTATTCACTGGGAAGAATTCTCAAATTTGGTACTTTTTAACACAGCCCCTACTGGCCTACTGGCAACCCTTTTGCTCACTACTTATATAGGGCTTTTTTTTTTTTTTTTTTTTTTTTTTTTACATTTGTTACTAAGGCATTATCTTGGAAAACTGTTACATTATTCAAGAATATATGAGGTAGGAAGTTGCATACTTCTCCAACTCCTACAGTTAGATTAAGTTAAGATGAAAATTGAGTGTCTCAAAAATGGCATTGCTGAAAAAATCTTGTATCCAGAACCCAATAATCTGAATGGTAATAAGATATACTGTACTAGCCTAAAGGAGGTATGAGTGTTGACAAAAGGAGAAGATGAAGTCTTGTGCCTTATTAAGGGCACAGTAACAGAGAGAAAACCAACTTATTTTAGTCCCATTTTTGATGGGGCAGAGCAGCACAAAGAAGTTTCAAAAGCCTTATTCTCCCTGGGAGACGATTCCTCCACTATAAGAAATGCAGATGTTATCAGTATAGATAATTTCCTGATGAGCCACTCCAGAGAATTTAATGCCTTTGCCCACAAGTCCTGAACACAGAATTTCACCCTAAAACTTTAGATTCTTTTTCTTCCTCTTAAGGAACTTCAAAGAAATATGCAAATATAATTCTTGAGCACTTCTGACTTCCCATTCTTCATCTACACACCATCTGTAGAGTCTAAGCTTTTCCAGCCCAAGGCTTGATGTCATATCTTTCTTTAGAGAGCCTAGCAAACATGTGAACCTATACCACAAAACACAGATCATATGAAATTTTACCTTCTCCTGTGGTGCAGGAAAACCATTGAGACTTTGCTGCAAGAAGTTGTCGTTACACACAAAAGCAAGTATTTTATCTGAATTAAAATTATTTCAATGTTAACAAAAAATACCGTTGTATAAAAACTGAATTTAAAAATGAGTCTGTTGAGAGCTAGTCCTATGATATCGCACTCCACGGTATATGCTAGGCTGTTTGTCTGTTTGCCAGAAAGACAGGATATTTAACTTATATCTTGATTTTTGAGATTTTAATCAATAAAAAGTGTTCCACACTCATAATTTAGTGACTTGTACCTCAGTACTATCTTTTTCATTTAAAATTTCTATTGCAAATTTCTGAGCTTCTTAGAAATTTAATAAAGAGACGGGTAAAGTAAATCTTATAAGAGGAGATCCACAAAGAACTTTTCTGTAGTTACCCACTCTACATTCCCTTAAAGTATAACACAACAGATATTTTTTCCCGATTTCAAAATTATGCATGTAAATCTATTTAAAAAGAAATATGTCCAGAAAACACTTACCAATTTTTGGAATTAGATTATTCTGAAGATAGAGAATTTTTAAATCTCGACACCATTTGTCAAGATACTCCAGTTTTTCTATTTCCTGCTGATGTAGAGAGATTTCTTCCAGTGAAAAAATTTCACAGTTGTTATGTTCTGCACGTTTTCTAACAAGATCTTCAGTGACTGAAAGAAACATTATATGTCATATTTCCCTGTAGCCAGTTTCTGCCATCTGACTTACGAACAACTTATAGAAGCATTAAAATCTTTTGTTCCACAGTACCCAATAGATATCCAATAGAAACACCAACAAAAATAAAACCTGCTAGAAAAGACATCAAGTACCAAATAACTCCAGCCCACTCTGCCACAGTAAACATCATTTGTGAAATACACTCACGTCACCTGTAACATTTAGAAAAATCATATGAAAACTGCTGAGTCCTCCATAAGTGTGATACAATCCTTGGAGAAGTTAATCCAGCATCCATTATTTTCAGCATAGCTCGGGTTGGAAATTGATCCATGTACACAAGCAATGCAGTGTTTTGTGCTCTTTTATTTCCTGATACCAGGTGTTCACATCACAGATGGGGGGGGGGGCGGGGGATAGGATGGAGAGAGTAAACTACTTACAATGTGTCATCAGATTCTTCTGCCAGCACAGTGTGCACAGAAATAAGCAGAATAATGTTGAAAATGAGCAGATATTTTTTACTTTTTTCATGCTCGAGGCAAAGCCATAACTAATTCATGCTTATAAAAGTTCATGCTAGAACGAAATTTAATCCTAAGTATTTCTTAGGCACTACCAGCTCATTAGCAGCCAGCAAAGGAGTTTCTGTGGCCAAATAACCCAGAGACCTGAGTTCAGAGTTATCACATTGTAATATTTAATGCCAGACAATCTTTCAAACAGTGAAAAGGCTCTGTATAATGAAGGTAAAGAAATTCTATGAGAACCAGTGCTCACTCTTGAGCTAGATGTTATTACTTTGTTTCCAGATCACTGCACCAAAAAAGAACTAGCATTTTCCTCTCCTTGAGACACAGTGAACTACAGTGAAGTGCTGAATAAAAAACTAGGATTTTATCAAATTAGCATAGGTATTTTCATGATTGTTAATGCTGAAAAAAGACTAGCAAGTCTTTCAAAATGACTCTGAAGAAAAATAAGTAAAAATAAAAAATATACAGACATCTGTGAAAACAAATTTTTCCTGGAATGCATTAATAAAACTATTTTTTCCTTGCTTCTTTGTCTTGGGGAGGTTTTGTGGAATCACAGAGTTTTATTAGTGGTCCTGGAAGGCTGCAAACAATCACATGGACAGGTCAGCTACAAGCTGCGTAAACTACATACCCATACAGCCCAACCTCGCACGTGTCAGTGTAGATCCTCTATCTACAGCCTTTGAGAAAGGGGTGAAACTGTTTTTTTAATATATTATTTACAGATGACCAGGGTTCAATCTCCTTTCTGTTCAACAGAGTTTCATCTGACATGATTTCCAGAATTATATAATGTTGATACTGATATTGATATAAGATGGGATCCTGTCTGCACATAAAGCATATTGGGAAAGGTGTCTTTTTCTTTTTTAATCATGTTGGGAAAGTTTGCTGTATCTGAACAACCAACTTCCCTTCAAAAGCTCATTGATTAAACGTGACTAAATTAATAGAGAAAAGAGAAAAAATGGTAATAATCATGACTAAATATTTCAGTCTTCACAGAAAATATGAAAAACACTGGCATTTCTAATAAGCTCCTTGGCAAATCTGCTGGAAATTAAAAAAAAAAAAAAAAAAGGCCTGCTTACTAATGTGTTTGATGGCAGATCTTTTGGTGCCAATATTTCCAGTGCAAACAGGCATTTTGAGCAAGAAAACATTCGATAAACTGCATACATACATATTGGAGACAACAGTATGCTCTTTACCTGTTATAAAGAAAGAAGTCATACAAACTATTCCTGACAGAGTTTTATTACAGCCACGTTTCCTTTCACTGATGAAAAGAAAATTGAAGTGATTGTTGCAGTGATTATGCAAAAATGTCTACTTTCATTACCAGATGGACTGCAAAGCAGAGAAAATCATTCATGATAGAAGCTACAGTGGAGTTTTTGAGACCTATTTTGGGGACCTGCTGTAGGGAACTGAATGAATATTTGACATTTTGTATGCTATCTTGTTGATTTAAGAGGAATGAGGGAAACAAACAGATTTTTAAATAGAAGCTTTCCTAGGACATTGACAAAACACATTGTAATGTTACTTCTCACTGAAAAGTTCATTAACCACAATATCTGATGTTGTGCACAGTAACAGGAGAATGGACTAGTGACCTGAAAGATCACAGTAACTCCTGTTACTATGAGCACAGAAGGAAATAAGGGATGGCATCAATCAACTGGAGATAACAGATCTTGAAGATCTAACAGCTGGGCTTCCAAAAATTACACATTTTACTCAAAAAAAGGAGCAGATACAAATAAAAGCATTAAAGGAATAGAAATAATAAGCAGGTGGACAGCTGTAGGTATATCAAGAATCAGTGGAGAAACCTTGCATTTCAGAAAAGTGAAGTATTCAACCATTATTTTAAGACTCAAATTCATAGCACGCTGTTCAGAAGAAGCCATTCCCCTTCAGGCAGTGCCTGCTCAAAGGGAACATCTGCCAGCTTCATGCAGAGGGAAGGAGCTCCTTTCCAAAGCACTGTTTTAGCCCAGCAAGGGACTGGCAGTCCGGTGATGGTATACAATCAAAATAGATTACAGGGAAAATCACACATGAAAGGAATTCCCCAGTAGCTTTCTTCTTGAGCAATATGCATGAGCACTCATGTCTTTTAGGTCATACTGCTTTACCTCTAAAAGATTATGGATTCATAATTAATTGGATGGTGTATTTTAATTGCATTCGGGGTTTTTTCAAGTCTCTTATAAAGAAAGCATCTGTGTTGGCTACTTCTACCTAAAAAAAAAAAAAAAAAAAAAATCACCTGGTGTTGGAAACGTATAACTGCAGAGAAAGGACAGTGCTGATGGCTCTAGGCCTGGACATAAACCATCCTGTCAAGCATCTCCCCTTGCAGGGGGCTGCCCCACGCATGGGGAGGTCCCCACGTGGGCCACCCCACTGCTAGGCCTCTTGGGGTCTGTTTCAGGAGACAAGCGCACCCCTGTGTTGTTCTTGGTGAAATAAAATGGGCTGTTGGTGCCAGGGAGGAATGAAACCAGATAATCCATCCAGGCGAGGAGCGCAAGGGAGTCAGGAAGGGCGGGGGGGGGTGGGGGGGGTGGGTGGGTGGTCTGGGGGAGTTGGGGGATGGCGAAGGGGAGCGAGTGGGGGGAGAGGGAACGTGGTGGCCAGGGAGTGGGGCATGTCCTGGAGAGGAGGGAAGGAGCCCGGGGGGGGGTAAGAAAGGGTCTCTCGGCGACACTCACTCCGCACCATGGCCGCCCTCAGCGTCCCTCCGCCGCCGCCACTCCCGGACGCCGCGGCGCTGCCATGGCAACGGGGCCGGGCGGGCGGCGGCGGCCTCGGGCGGTGCTGAGGCCCGGCCGCCCTCCCCCGGGCCGCCACCGGCAGCCTCCAGACAGGTTTTGTGCTTTTTCTGCAACCACTTTGACGTGTCCTTATGCCAGAACGGTCAGAAGCGCTCGTGTGCCTGCCCAAGAAGCAAAATGGCTTTCGTATAATCCGAAAGTAATTCTGCTACCCTGGCTGCTCCTGACTCCTTTCTTTGTCTGGGCGGTGATATACAAAATGACTCTTCCTCAGGCATACAGCTTTTGTCTATCATTTGTCTGATACTTTTGTCCATACTTTGTATGATACTTTTGTCCTGCTCCTGCATATTCATCAACTAGTTTGCCTAACATATTTTGGACAGAAAGCATGTTTTCTGTTGTCTATGGAAGTGGACTGTTACTGTGATTCATAGAATCACGGAATCACTTATGTTGGAAAAGACCTTTAAGATCATTGAGCCCAACCGTAAAACCAAACACTGCCAAGACCACCACTAACCACGTCCCTAAGATCCACTTCTACACATCTTTTAAATACCTTCAGGGGTGGTGACTCCACCACTTCCCTTGGCAGCCTGTTCCAATGCTTGACAGCCCTTTCAGTAACGAAATCTTTCCTAATATCCAATCTAAACCTGCCCTGGTGCAACCTGAGGCTGCATCCTCTCATACTGTCACTTGTTACCTGGGAAAAGAGACCAACACCCACCTCACTACAACCTCCTTTCAGGTAGGCGTAGAGAGCAACAAGGTCTTCCCTCAGCCTCCTTTTCTCCAGGCTAAACAACCCCAGTTCCCTCAGCGTCTCCTCATAAAACGTCTTCTCCAAACCTTTCACCAGCTTCGTTGTCCTCTGGACAAGCTCCAGCACCTCAGCATCTTTCTTGTAGTGAAGGGCCCCAAACTGAACACAGTATTCGAGGTGGGGCCTCACCAGTGCCAAGTACAGGGGGACAATGACCTCCCCAGTCCTGCTGGCCACACTATTTCTGATACAAGCCAGGATGTCATTGTCTTTCTTGGCCACCTGGGCACACTGCCGGCTCATATTCAGCTGGCTGTTGTCCAACACCCCCAGGTCCTTTTGAGGACACTTCCTCACAGGGAATGCTCCTGTCCTCCACTTTTTACCTGGGAGATTCTCTGAGCAGGTCACTGCTTCAAGATATCTCTAACCACTTTATTTAACTGATAGATCAGGTCAAACATGAACCTGAAATTTGTCATGCTGTGGACACGGATATTATGCCCCCCTGCAGGCTCCTGTGACTCTCCCCCCTGCCATTAGCATACTATAACTTCACCCTCTGTAAAGTTACTAACAAATCTAATGAGTAAGAGTTACAGCTGGAGGCCTCGGGCAGCTGCTCAGACAGCTGCAGAAATTCTCATGTCTGACATTTTCTATTTTGCAATTAATATAATAATGTAGCATTGCTTCACATACTTGATTAAACAGGTTCCAAACTGTCAAAGTTTTGTCACACTAACCCTCAAAGAAACTGGATGGGACTATATGTTTCAAGCATCACTGACGAGCTTTATGGAGACCTTCATCTAAACCTGACTTGCTGACCATCAGTTTGAGTTCAATCCAATTCAGCAGTGAAGAAGTAGTACAGTATAGTGTACATTTGGTCACAAGATAAGTTGATGTTTTTTTCATGCTTAGATTTAAACTCTTATTTTCTTCTTTGTAAGTTCATATATCCTGTTCATTGCCATGTCATGCCTTGATCACAACTCTCTAACAGCCCTTATCAGTTACTCCAAAACTTCAGTTACAGAACATGAACTGCCACAATTGTCACAGTTGAAATTGGAAACATCGGGAAAGTCAGCATGTATTAGACACCTCTTTGCTAACACAGATCTTCATTAACCTAAAGGTTAAATCAAACCTAAAGGTCATCTTCTGTGAACAGAAAATTCACATGTAATTATAAATAAGGCTGTAGGATTATTTTTAAGTGTTCAAATTAATTTATTAAATAATTTACCTCTGATGTACTACATGGAACTCACCACAGCCACTCTGCAACTCACGATTGACTTAAAAAGGTCACAGATCAAGATAAGGACAGGGAGATCACACAAAAATTACTGTCATGGGCAAAACAGACTCCATTTGGGTAAAATAATTTAATTTATTGACAATGAAGCGGAGTACAATAATGAGAAATAATAACAAATCTAAAAACATCCTCCCTCCACCCCCCCTTCTTCCTGGCTCAGCTTCACTCCAAGCTCTTGCACTTGTATGTCCTGATTTAAACCAGTTTGTTATAATCAGCATATATGTAGGTCCTGGTGTGGCAAATTTACTTAAGATATAAGACTACTTGTTTGAGCAGGTAACTTTTCAGCTGTGATGAGCATAAAAGAGGTATCCTCTGTATACCACTGACTGAAAAGCTCTTGGAGAGTATTGTTTTCCTCTTGTGAAGAACAGCTTTGTTTATGACTCAGGGCTAAACTATTCAGGAAGTCAGAAAGCAGTATTTTGGAGCATGAGCTTGCAACGCACTAGTCCTGACCTGGTTGTCTAGTACACATGCAGCAAAGCTAGATGCCGAAGTAGGAAAATCACACTGGTTTCTTGTCCTTAAAACTGCAGTCTCTTCAGAATGAGGTTTATAATCCATGACCTTGGTTTTATTGGGAATAGTGACATAGTGACAAAGTGTAATACACCAGCCTTGAGTATGCAAGGTATTGTGATGCTCAAAATCTCAGATTATCATTGCAGTGTGGCTCTCCAAATTGTGCCTTGTTTTTAACGTAGAGTATACTCAGTGTAAAGGCAAAGAGGTCTGCCAGATTGTCTTGTTGCCCTTGGGATACATTGAACTCCTGAACCCTGACACAGATTCAGAAGCAATGTCCTTGCTGAGCTTCACTTTCGCCACATAAAAATTCACATAACCCCAAATACTTTTATTCTTAGCAACATTTTATATTGTACACACACAGAAGAATTTTGTAATGCATAGAAAATTAAATAATGATAATTCATAATTCCAGCACATACACACGCTTTCAGCATAGAGGCCTACATGTGAGCTGCTCTTACAATATGCTTCACTGAACAAAATGTTTGCAGCCTGTACATCACCAACACAACATACATACACAAAATTTGATGTAACTTACAGGTATGGTGTTGTACAACCTTTCAATAGACTTTTGCATTCATTTATTTAAAATTAAATACAAATTTTATATTTACATACGTTGACCTTATTGTGCTCATTATTTTAATGCAGATAATTTTCACTCAAATTATGTACTAAGAGTGTTAAGTAGCACAAGCCTGAATTCTTAACTTGAAACAATGTCCATGACAGAGATAATATAGTGAGCCACATTACAAACAGGAGAATAGAGTTGAGAAAGAAGAAAACCAGTCCCATCTGGCATGTCTTCCCTGAAAAAATTCACTTTACTGCTTTAGTACATTACAAATTGATTTGATAAATGCATAAAGCAATGCATTATAAAATATATTTCTATGTCATGACAAAAATAAGCGTTATAGCATTATTATTACAGTGCATAAGAAGTATTTTGAATGTGTTCACTCCATCAGTACATACTCATGTAAGGTGCTACAGCCCCAGGAAATTGATATCCATGGACAAATCTTAAGCTGTTAAAATGCTGCAGGTCAGTCTTAGCTGGTGGAAATCAGCTGATGGATACCCACTCAGAACCTGTATCGATGTCTTTCTACTTATTTCCTAATAAATTATTATTGGTGTTGCTGCTGCTGTTATTATTACTACTATTACTATTACTATTAGTATTACTATTACTAATACTATTACTATCACTATCACTATCACTATCACTATTACCATTACCATTACCATTACTATTACATTCTATGGTGGTAACAGTTACTTAGTAACTGTAACAAAATGAGGCTTTCATATTCAACAAAAGTATAAATAAATCCTCTCCCAAAGAGCACACAACCTACAGGGCAGGACAGAAGCTCACAAATAACTAATTCATTGAAACATGTGCAATTCCTAATAATAATCCTCATTATTGTCAACACCCTCAAATGCAGGAATAAATGCAAACAGGAACAATTTTGCTGATATGTAAATGCTAGAGATAAGGGAAAAGAAAAAAAAAGCAGCATGAGAAACCATAAAAGGGAAACAATACAAAATGAAATAACAGTTTTGCTCAGTGTATGTTAAAATGCATAGAAGTTTATAAATCAGTGCAGCTAATTCACAAAAAAAAAGACATCAAGGAGCAGATTCTGCAGAGTTGGACTAGATGGCCATCACTGTATTCTGTACCAGTGTGGTTTATTCCATATCATTTAAATAAAAAATGTTAACCTTTGTATGGTTTGGCTTCTGTGAGTAATTCTTTTGGGAGAAATACAAAACAGACTTACTCACAGACTAAGGACATTATAAACTAAGGGATGCCATAAATATTATTATCGTGCTTGCTACTGTTCCCTTCAACATGAACATTCCTGCTATAAAGCACTGCATGATATATACTCCAGAAAGACCCTGAAATTCAGCTGAACACAGCAAGAAATAAGAGAATATAAGACAAGTTGTAGTGATAAAACAATAATAGTAACATACAGTATGAGATAATGCACAGGGTTATAAATCTGTATCTTGAAATTCTCCTTTAATTTTCCTTTTACAGTAAGGTGCTATATTAGAGTAACAGTGTAATCACTGTAGACAGAAACATAAAATTCTAGTTGTTTTCCCTGTTTGTAGATGTGTCAGTTAATCATTAATCAACAAGTGGTTTTACTTTGATAGAATTAAATTTCACAATTATCCTAGGCTTGATACTTCAGTTAAGAGAAGATGCAAATACTAATTACCACTGAAAGTCTGGATTTAAACATTTAGGTTAGAAAATCTCTTCAATTTTTTGTCAGACAGATTCTGGCTTCAACTTTTCATCCAACGCAATTGAACATAACATATTATTGTGTCTCTTTTCAGAGAATCAATACAAAGTTTGCTTTTGTGTTCATTGGAATATATGGAAGGCAACTGCCAACGCCAAACAGTTTGGTCACTCAATAGAATGTTAATTCAGCATTAATGAATATCATGGAGGGCAGATTTTAACAGATTCTGAGCATCATATTTTTAGCCCTTGAACTCCAATTGCCAAATTGTCCCAGAACTTCCCTCTTTCCAGGTCAGAAGAATTCTAATTTACAGTTTATATTTATTCATGGGCAGATTATAGCAATTAATTTTAGACCAAATTTTTGGCTAGCTGAATCAGGTTTTTCTTCACCAGTTTACAGTGAACTAACTAGTTTACAGTGAACTCAGGTTTTTTTAGTTTTCAACATAATTGCTTCGATCACTGCAGGGTAATTGCAGTCTTAGACTTTTCTCTCAGTACAGGATTTAATTTTTCAGATTATTCTTCCAGGTGTTTTTTTAAACACTGAAGATCTCTATAGTTCTTTAATTTTAAAAGTGCATTTAGTAATGGACCTGCTATAAGTAGCAATAAAATAGGTAACAAAATATGTATACATATTACACAATGACATTTACTTTCAGTTGTCTCCAGAGTTAAACTAAATAAGGAAGCAGCATTATTTAATACTGACAAAATTTTAAAGTGTATTAACTACAAATAAATATGAGGATGAGTTTTGTAACATTGTTATAGTTACATAATACATCACTTTTATGAAGAAGAACATTATTTTTGTCATTTATTGAAATTATAAAACCTGGTCTTGTTACATCAGGTGGTCTGTCTATATGTCTTTATATAAAGTCAATCTAATGCACTGAGCGAAAGTAAATTACTATGCAAAATTGGTAATTTGGGTGAAATTCCCCTCTTTGACTCTTAACACTGAGCTGTTGATGTTTCAAAATATAACCAGCAAATATTTACACTTTGAAAGAGAAATGTACATTTTAACTTAATTTCAAGTACCCTATCCATCATTGAATCACTTGTTCAGATTTTTGATGCTAGAAATACAGCTATAACCTGCTTGAGCTTGGTTTAGACATAGAGTTGGACAGACAGCGGTGTTAAAATTTTGTCGATTCTTTCTTTCACCAAAACCTTTCGTTTGTGAGCTTTTTCTGCAGAGTTTTCAAATCCCTGTCATTCTGCCTGCCAGCCTGATCGTATGCCGTGGGCAGACTTAGCCCTTCCACAGGCAGGATTTCATGTCTGATTTACCAGCTGGGGCTGTGCTAGCATTGCTTTTAGCACAACAGGGGACAAGCAGACTAGAAGCAGCACCAGTTATGGAATGATTTGGTGGGCAATAGCATCCTCACACATTATCATTGTTTTGTTGCACGGCAAGATGAAATCCATGCTGTCCTATCTAAACTGGCATACAGGCAGATACTTTAAGAAGCAGATTATTAAAAGCTTGGAGTTACAAGATATCAGGTTTTGGTTACCCACAGGTTGTATGTGTAATTTAGACTCTGCCTTAGCAAAGATCCAAGCTGAAAAATAGGGCTCAGTGTTTCCAGAGTAAATACCTGCAGGTTTTGTATTTTTTGTACGGGAATCCAGGTAATTCAGATTCATTGCTTCTCCACATCCTGATTCCTGGTTTTCTGAAGAATGTTTTCCTTCCAATAATATTTCTTTCTTCCCTTTATCTCTTTTCTTAATGCTCAGCATAAAGGCCAAATGCAGTGCACACAAAAGATGCAATAAAGCTTCTGTCACTCAGTCACTATCCAAATTCATTATCTTTGAAATAATGTTGTTACAAGATATTAATATATAAAGTATGGGAAGACATCAATTTCTATAAGAAATCTGTTTTAATGGGGATTACCAAACACTTTTTACCATGAGTTTATTATCAAAATGCATGTAGGACCCCATGCCTACTTAGGATTTAATTGACATAAGTGACTAGAGGTATTGCAATCGTTTCACAACTGCTTTCAGATAGTCACCAAGGCGTATGGTCTCACTCATTTTGACCAAAATAAGAATAAAGCTAAAATGAATTGCATTTTGGTGGAAGAATACTAACATTTTATTTTTTTTTTCCACAGGAACATGTGTAACGATGGCCATAAGGAGATGTCAAGTAGTTTGATCCTGAAGAGCTGAGGAAAATAATATTGAGGAGGAAGAAAAATTAAAATGGTTAGTAAACTGATTTTGAAATATAGAGAGGTAACAACTCTAAGTTTATACAAAAGGCAAGAGACAATCTTGTTTTGAAATGCTGGAGGTCCTGCCTCACAGTATCCTGTGACAGTCTGTATTTGGTTTACTCCTGCTAGGCAACAAGTCCCAAGTTCTCCACTCCATCCTGTAGTATCTGCTTTGGTTAACATTGATACTGGCTTTCAAAGTCAGAGTCAGCTTTAAAGCTCTAGTGTTGCAGCACTTACATAAACAGTCCCACTGGCTTTAAGACGTGCCATATCTAGAGTCCACTGCTTGGCACACTGGATCAGTAGGATGTATTTTTCATCATAGGCTTTAGTAAGTCTGCAAAGTGATCTAAAGCCTGCATACCATTCTGAAATGCTCAGGGTGAACATCCTCTTTCTGAGGACTGACTGAAAGGTTTTCCAGGTTGTGTCTGCAGCTGTGAAGGTGTCTTTAGATCTCAGAAGCTGAACTGCACTCATCTAGCAAACTGATGAACGAGGCTGTTTTATCCACACTATAAGGAATGCAAACCGTGGCAGAGCTCCACTTAGTTCTTTCTTCTAATTTTTATTTTTTCAAAGTAAAGAGATAAAGGAAATAATGAAGCCAGGACTGGGATGGCCAGCTCCAAGTACAAATAAATTAGTGCTATTGTTTTAATGGTCCTGAGCTGCACCCAAACTTAGAAATGTTTGATAAACAGAAACTAGAGACTGAGGATGAGGCTTGACTGAAAAATAATAGGGAAGAGAAGAATCTGTGTTTTCCAGATATTCTGGACTGATACGTGTTGATGCTGCTTCACTCCTTCAGTGGAGTGCTACCAAGTTAGAGCAGTACAGCACCTGGCACTACCATTCATTTTAAACTTGGAAAAAAGGAGGACTTGCTTTGCCCGTTACTGAAAAACATGTTTTTTTCTGTGCTGAAGCACAGCAGTTGTTTAACAGCTTACACTCTTTAGCAGCTGTTGTCAAACAATAAAAAATATTTCATCCAAATAAATTCAAAGAGGAGTTTTAGACAGCAAAGTGGAGTAATTTGCAGTGAAAACTGGCAAGGGTACTGCAGCTAAATCTTCATTAACAAAAAGTCCAGGGAACCTTTCTGGCATGCTTGAACCTTGTTTTGTAATAGGGCTCACCCCAAAATGTAAAGGAATTCTTCATAAACTTAAACATATACGCACCAATTATTCTTTCTTTCTTTCCAGTTATTTCCTGGAGGGAGAAAAATAAAGCATACATTTTTGTATGTCTTGATTTAAACCATAGTTTGTTATAGTGAGTATATATGCAGGTTCTGATTTGCCAAATTTACTTAGGCTGTAGGACTACTTGTTTGAGTAGGTAACTTCTCAGCGGTGATGAGCATAAAAGAGGTATCCTCTGTATACCACTCACTGAAAAGCTCTTGGAGAGTATTTGTTTTCCTCTTGTGAAGAACAGCTTTGTTTATGACTCAGGGCTAAACTATTCAGGAAGTCAGAAAGCAGTATTTTGGAGCGTGAGCTTGCAACACGCTAGTCGTAACCCAGTGGCGTTGATTTTATTTGGAATAGTGACATAGTGACAAAGTGTAATACACCAGCCTTGACTATACAAGGTGTTGTGCTAAGACCCTTGGATGCTCAAAATCTCAGATTATCATTGCAATGTGGCTCTCCAAATTGTGCCTTGTTGTTTCTAATTTCCAATATACTCAATGTAAAGACAAAGAGGTCTTCCAGATTGTCTTGTTGCCCTTGGGATACATTGAACTCCTGAACCCTGATACAGTTTCAGAATCAATGTCCTTGCTGAGCTTCACTTTTGCTACATAAAAATTCAGATAAGCCCAAATATTTTTAGTCTTAACTGAATTTTAGATTTTATATGCTTAGAAGAATTTTCTGCTGCATAAAAAGTGAAATAACAATAATTCATAAATCCAGCATATACATACATGTTTTCAGCATGGATGCCTATGTATGAGTTTGCTCTAAAGATATCATTCAGACCTTCTATATTGTAAGTCTTTTACTCTAGGACTTAGAAGCTATAGCTCTGTGCAAAACTTTGAAATAAAGCAATCTGAAACAGCAACATTAGCACCTTAAATTAACTCTTCAGAGTGATTTAATACTTCTTTCTAAGACATTTATCTGACTACAGTAGAAGCCAAAGGCAGAGCTCTGTTCTGAACCTAATAGTGCATTGCGTTACTGGAGCCAAGTCATATCAATTCTGTAGTCCCTGGAAGGTGGTAATGTGGCTAGCAGCATAGTTAGCTGTTTTCATTTTTTGCAGTTGAAAATAAAGGCTTCGTTTGGTGGCCTGGGAGTGGAAGGTTTGAAAACACACCTTTGGATTCATAATAAATTACTATCCTTGCTCTGTGCCTGCATATTCATGTTATGGCATATTAGGTTTATCTTCCTTTCCTGATAAGGTGCTACAACATTTACTGCACATTATGAAAAAGCAGTTTTTCAAACAAAACAGAATACAAATGAATACAAGTCAGTAAGAGGAAAAGACAAATCCTCCATCTGTAACTTCAGATCATGCCTTCTACCTTTTGACAGGAAAACAACAGAAGGATTAGCTCCTTCCTCTTCTTATTATAAAATTTCTAAATTCCTCTATTCATTACATGACACTGGAGCCACTTACCAAAACTTGGCTGTTTTGAAAGATGTGTCAAGGCTGAAGAAAGATGACACAACAGCATCTTGGGGAAAAAAAAGAACTGTGAAATCTAAATGCAAAATTCTGTAACTGATTGAAGGTTACATTCTGTCCCCATATGCCCCCATATTGCTCTTATTAGCATCGGTAAGAGCTGTGGGTCTACATCCAAGGATGGATTTAATCCTCAGATGTAACTTAGTAAAATATTATGTGTTGAACATAAAGAAAGTCTGTACTTACAAACTAAAATTATCAGCAACAAAGTGGCAGGCAATCCTCCCAGAATATATCTGAGAACAGAACAATACCCATAAACGTTAGAAAAAAACAATGGATGCATATTGGGTTAATAGACGTGAAGCCTGGGTGGGAGGAGGAGAGAAGGTTCTTGCCAATGAACCCTCTGAACTCTGGTAGGTGAACTGCAATTTGAAACTTAATTAATTTGAAAATTAATTACTTAAACTATTGATGATAATCTCCTAAAAAGACAGACCTCAGCATTCCCAGACTGAGAGAAACACCTATATTGGTCACTTAGAAAGATATGGCTCCATTCTGATTCTTCTCAGCCTTTCAAAATCCCTGTCCAAGCACATTTGACAAAGTAATTTTCATATCTGCATATGTATTTCTTATTTTTGTACATATCTATATAGCTCAGATATTTGCCTGCATCAACTACCACATGAAGATATTTTCACAGTAAGATATACCTAACTTTGAAAATGTGACCCTTAATTTATTTTTATTCACCAGTTGAAACTGAGTAAGCATTAATATCAGAAACAACAAAGAAAAGAAATAAAAATTACCTTGTACATACTGAAATGATTAAACATGTGTTCAGTACAACCATCTGAAAAAGGACATTTTGCACTGCCCTGGATTCTAAAACAAAAATCAGGCAAATAATTTTCATGAGTTTTCAGGAAAGTAAATATATGACAGCAGGTATTTGCAAAGACTACCTTCAGACTGTGAGGCCAGTCTCTTCAGTTTCTTTTCAAGAGAATTTGCCTAGAGTGTCTGAAAGCAGAAACCTAATTTTTATGCTCTGGGTGTCTCTCAGGAGTCTTTTTCCCCCATGACTGTAGAAACATTGTGCCCTCCATGCTCTCAGAAACCAAGCATTTCTGAATAATTGCCTGTTTCTGGTTTTGTTCCCATGCCCTTTCCTCCATTTTCCTCTTCAATACACTTTTTTCTTCTTCCATTTATCATTGATAATAGGAGAGGAAAAGATATGAGCAGGGAGGACTAAACAAGTCAATACCAATTTTAAGAGTTTTAAATTTTTAACTACTGATGTAAAATGTATGTTTCAGGAAATAAATTATATTCTTCAAGGGGCCATATCAGTATTTTTAATGTATTTTCACTTTGCCCTAGAAATGAAGCGTATCAGAATAAGAATGTAACATACCTGCATTGCTCAAAGTCTCTTCATTTGCATTTCTCACAACTGTAGAGCAGGATTTTGAAGAACAAAATGGTTTCTTGGGCTGAAGAAACTCGTCATCTTTGGTGAGAGAGTCTCCATTAGATGAAGGAGTTTGCCTTTGTGGCACATGACTATCATATTCAGAAGAAAAGTCAGAGTCATCTACAAAAAATGCATATGTAACTGAGATTGTACAAAAGAAGAGCTTTGAGACTTGTGATAATGTATTTGGGGTGGGGGGAGGGAAATTAATTACTTATTCACAGAGAAGCTTCCAAATTGTTAAGAGTAGGGAATTAGCTGGTTCAATGTATGCAGGAGAAAAAATGCAGAGTAAAGACAGAAATGCATAGAGAGTAACATAATGAAGTTACTAAAACAGACAGGTGAAAACAGACAGTGCCAGATATTAATGACACCAGCATAAAAATTGTTGTTGATGACTTTGTGTTCAAATTCAGTCTAAAAATGTCTTTTTTGGCACAAAGGTCTTTGTGGACTCATACTCTGTTTTAATTGCAGTAGCTCAATTCACCACTTACAACTCTGTTTTTCATCTATCCTTTACCTGCACATCTTGGCAGGCAACCCCTGCAAAATGCATAGAAAGAGATACCCAAATCCCACTAAATACAGACTGCAGTACTGCATCTTGATTAGTTGGTTCCTGGTCAGGGCTCACCAATATCACTCTGACTGACTTCTGGATTATTGCATCCATTGGGCCAAGGATCGTCTACGTGGGAGGAATCCATATTGCTGAGGACACTTCTGTTCCTCCATGACCTGGAGGCACCAAGATTTAACAATCTGGCAAGAGAGCGACGGATTTTCTTCCTTCGCCTGAATACACTAGAAAGAAGAGACATGCTGTCAAGGAATAGAGTTAATTATTCTTGTTGAGCAAGGACAGAGCTCTAAAGCTTGCAGGACTGACATGAAAGAACCAGGTTCTGGGTGCTGTTCCTAGTTCTGTTCTTGACCCTGGGAATGTCACCAAGAATGACTGCTGTACCCTGCAATAATGTCAGGGAATGTATTAGCAGCACGGCAATATATCATGCCGTTGTGATACTGTGATATTGTGATACCAAATGATACTACAGTTTTTGGGCTCTGATAATGGTCTGAGTGGTCTCATGCTACCCATGAGCTTTACTCTACCATATTCCATTTGGTGCAGCCTGATTCCACTGTACTTCAACTTTTTTGGACTACATTTTATATACCTTCCTAAGCTGATGTTCTGAAATTAAGAGAGATTTTTCCCTGAGTAAGAATCCAAGGAACAAACTTTTTTATTTTTATATATATATAAACACTCTTTTTTCTTATTCCTTATCATGGTAACACCCCATTGGCAAAATGAGCTGTAGCTCTCCTTTTTCTTTATTGGACACAACTCTGATTACAGCAGCAACTGTGCACTGAAGAGTTTTTGGGTAGGAAAATTAGTCATGACTGAAAATCAAGTTATTTCTATCACGACACTCTCTAAACTAAATGAATTGAGATGCTCCCATTAAGAAGCAATGCTGATCTCATGCCATGCAAAATGTAGACAGCCACACAGACCCCTCCAAATAAGTCCAGAGATGTGGAGGCAATTGCCAACATTGAGAAAAACCTGCATATAGTTCACTTACCGAACTAAATTCTCTTTATATGTAACACTTGTCTGGGATGGTGTCAGTGTTATGTTGCCATCTTCATCGGACAGAAAACTGTCTTCTGTCAGGATGTAATAACCATTAGAAAGCAGTCGAGGGCTGCGGCGACATGTGGAAAGCAAGCCTCTCAAAGGATTTGTGGAACAACACTCATAGGCAGGGTCACCATCCAAAAAGGCACAAGTATAACTGAAAAGGAGAAATTAAACTCTCTAATTTAATTAATGTCTAGACAGAGTAAACCCATGATTTAATAATAATGAATTTACATGACCAGCTGATGGAGGCTGGTAATGACATGGAGCTAAAATATGTGGATAAAATGATATTACTTCTGGACCTAGGGAGTTTCAGCCAGCTAGAATGTGCCTGCATCACACTTCCCAGAGTTTCAGATTACAGAAGGGCTTCATGCCAGATGGAGCATTTGATGAACGCATGGAGCCAGCTTGAACTAAGAACTGCATGGTGTATTTCTGTGGCAGTGCTCTTGGCCAAGGAGTCCTGCCAGATCTACACCTATCTGGAGCTGTCAGAGGTATTCCAGTATTTTGCTTCTCTGAGTTACTCTGTATGGCACAAACCTGAGTGCCTCTGAACCAGCCAGGATTTATTTGCTTTTTATAACCTACCCATATTTAATGAAGATTCCAATATTAAAGGGTGGCTACAAAGAAGATGGAGACTCCCTTTTTACAAGGAGTCACATGGAAAAGACAAGAGGTAATGGGTACAAGATTCCAATTGGACACAAAAGGAAAATTTTTCACAATGAGAACAGTCAGCCACTGGAATAATCTCCCTAGAGAAGTGATGCATTCGACATTGGATGCTTAAGATTCAGCTGGACAGGGTGCTGAGCCATCTTGCCTAGACTGTGCTTTTGACAAGAAAGGTTGGACCAGATGTTTCTTGAGATCCCTTCCAACCTGGTATTCTGTGATTCTATGATAATATTTAAGGATACATGACTTTTAATTCTCACAAATCCTAGCATACCATGCAGCTAGAACCATACGAGATAAAGTCTACACATGGTGAGAACTTAATCCAGTACTGAAATACAATTGACTTTGAGATCAAATATAGCACACAAAAATACACTATGTGGTATTTAAAATAGAAGTGACTAGTGACAGAAGTGAAAGAATCTAAATGTTGTAGACATTTTACTCAGCTCAAGTAAAATTGGATTTACGTTTACTTCTTTCTCCTCAACACCTTTGAATTCCAAGTGGTCATGTAGTGACGTCCATGGGAAGAAACAAAGACACTGAATTGATTCAGTGGCTGACATGGGTTTCAGGAGCAGGTTTAACTATCCCATATGGCATGTCACAGAAGGATATGATAATTTCAGTGGAGGGAGAAGCAGGTGGAACAGAGATCCTCCCAAACCTTGTAACTGAAAAGCCAGTGCTTCAAATCTCCATAGAAGTACTTCTGAAATTCCATTTAAAGTAGCAATTAAATTAATATCAGCGCTGTAATTCTAAGTGGCCCAAGAGGGATTTTACAAAATCTCCAATAAAATAAAAATAAAATTAAAAAAGTATAATTTTCCTCTATACCTTGGAAAAATACGCTGTGAGAGGCTGCGTCTACGTTCTCTATTAAACGCTGTTGAACCTGCAGAGGCAAAGGCCAAATAAGAAGGAGTCTTTATCATATCCACTGACAGCTCAAACTGTTGACAGGTGTTCACTGACAGGTACCCTGTGCATTTCAAAAAGATCGTAAAAGAAACTAAAAAGAAAAGGAAATTAGGGAGAAATTAAAGGAGATAAAACAGAGGAAAGAATAGGGGAAAGACATAGTGTTTATAGGAAACTCCTCTCAACCAGGAAAACACAAAATCAAAGGCAATCATAATCAGATACTTGTACTCTTCACAGTTTACAACCTTAAGAGAAATAATTATGGACAGAAATGCAATAGCTGGTGTTTTCCCAGAAATGTGTTTCATGACAAAAATAGTACATGTACTGGCAATAGATATGGAGTAGAATGGAAGGGCTACCATTACCATAAAAATATGTTTTTTAGATTAAGATTGCAGACATAGCACAGCAGGCATCGGGATAGTGACAGCAGTAAAGATTTGACAATATTGTGGCAGGAGACTAAGGAAATAGGATTTGTCTGGATTACCATGGCTCAAATCTGCGAAGTGCTGCCAGATATTCAGCATCTGACAGAATCAATTTTACAGAATATCAGCAATGGCTATCCATAGGGAGAATTTAAATCTGTTATTACATAGAAAGATAAAAGATATGATCTCTCCCTATATTACCTTTCCTCTCCTGTATCTTTGAAGCATCATGCTTACAAAACTGTTAGTAAATGCCCATCATTCACCTACGAAAGGAGATAGGTCTAAGGGAATTTTTTTTTTTTAAATATTCAGTTATGAGCTGAGGCAAAGAGAAAACATGAAGGTCAGTGTTTCCTCTTTGGTAACCTTGTTTCTCCTCATTCGGAGCTCAGTTGTCAGTCACAGCCTGGACATGAAGGCTGACTGAGCCTTGGAACCAGGCACGGTCACCAAAGGAGGGAAGCAAAACCTTCCAGGGTAATTTTTACAAATCAGTCCTATTACCCTACTCCCATACACAGTTTCTCCTACACTTTGAAAAAACTCCACCTTTCACTTTATCATGATAAAATTACGCTCTAACCCTTGAAAAAACAAATTAGGGAGGAGACAACTGGAAGAAACTTGGTGGAGGTACAAAGAGATAAAGTAGCATCAGTCAGGATGTCACACAGCAAGTTGTACAAAAAGTGAGAGCAGTGGTGTATTTCATAGCCAGACATGTTGTAGACTTATTTTTTTTCAGATACAATTAGCTCCTGAAAAAATATTATACTCAACACCAAGAAAATCAGCCAAACTCTAAAAGAAAATACAGAAACAATTTGACAGGTGGTCTGTAGATATGGATATAAACTAAAGCCTGCAAAATCCAAATCTTATCAATCAAACAAACCCCCCTCTACAAAAGATTTTTTTAAATTTAAATTTACTTGCTCCTGGTGTTGATGCAACATGTGATAATCCATACATCTTGAAAAGGACTGTTCCGTACACTCTGGGATAACAGCTAATATAGATTATCTGTAAAAGAGTTTTAAAAGAAACAGAAGTATGTTTTATTTTGTCTTGTTTGAAAATTAGGATGTGTAAGACAGTATCATCAATATACATATTATTAGCTATAATATATTCTCATTTAGGCAAGAGTGATTGATTATAGAGCAAATTTGCTTTAAAAGGGATGCAGAAGTATACCTCAGCATCAGTTAAATCTATGACAAGTCTTCAGTAATCTGAGAGTGAAACTTTCCAGCAACTGAAACACATAACAGTTGTATTGCAAGTGATTTTCTCAGTTATGACAATATAAAGTAGCAACCACTAAAAAAGAATAACTTTTAAGAATAGTAGTTTACATATAGGTATTTCTTTCATTAGGAAGTGTTGACACATACTGATCAAAGTGGCAGAACAAATCACAGTCCTTCTGTTATTAATTGAAATTGTCTCATAAATTTTGCAAGGTATGTTTCTGAAGGACGCTTGTTTATCTGCCACCCTCCACAGAAGTAAAATTTAAAGTAAAATAGGAAAAATTGCGTTTTAGACAATACTGCACAGTGTTCTGCTTTCATTTAATATTCTGTCCCATTTCTGGGCTATTAATAGCATGAGAAGCTATAGTAACAATATAAGCAAGCCAAAACAAAGTATCTCAACCACCACCACTGTAGAATGAAGCAGTAGTATTATATCTGTTATCCACAAAATGAGCATCAGTACAGAACCTTAAAATTATGAAATGAGAAAAGACCAACAGCTTTAAGAATTCTCACGAAAAGTGAATCTGAGGTGAACGCGGCACTATTTTATGTCAAGAATTTAAATAAAAATTTAAGGCAACACCCCCTGTTGAATTTCAAAACACCCAAAAGCTCATGTCATAATATAAACAGGAAGTCACTGTCCAAACCAGTCAGTTTTAATTACCTTTCCCTTCAAAAATCAAATTAATCTTTAAGCCAATGATGACCTCAATTGGTATCCAGCAATCCCCTGTCTATGTTTACATTCTAAATATTTACCTCATTATGTACCAAAATATAGTACGAACCATAAAAATAGCTGAAGCTCAGACAACCAGTTTTATTCTATCGCACCTAACAAATGCAAGTGTCCACAAAGATAGTTTTATTTGTTCACACATATCAGTCATTTTTTAAGAGCAGACTAGGCTTTTCTCCCTGCAGGTAATGAACAACATTCACAAAAATACAAAACTTCCTGAAGAGCAGTACAGAAATGAATCCAAAGCTTAGTTATTCCTTAACTGACAAATATATTGCGATAAATATGTGTAAAATCTTCCAAACCTGGAAAATCCATTTCACTATTAACACATGTATGCACAAAAGTTTCTCATCATCAACATGAGAGCCTCTGAGACGGTAAGTGGAGGGTGCTCCTCCTGCAGCTTCTTGGAAGAGATTAGCTCTGGGTCTTCAGAAAGGCAGGTCTACTAACTCCAGTTTCCTTTTGAAAACAGCCCATGCAATCAGCGGCACAGAGGCAGAATGAGGTCATGTTTCCTGTAAAGTAGCCTCCCATCAGAAGCATTCATTCTGAAGAGCAAACTGAAGGTTAAGATTAGCCCAGTGAACACACTTGCAGGCTGTTGCAAAAGAGAAGATACACTATAAATAACATTTTGCTCCGATTATGATATGGAGAACAAAGGCAGAACCTTTTCTCATAAAGAAACATTTTTTTGTTTCAGTTTACTTTTCCACCTCACTCAGAAAACTTTAAAGTGGTATATCCTAATCACTGAATTTGCTGAAATACCTGTGAGCCTGTTTGGCTTCCATGTAGGAAGATGATCCAGCTACCAAAAAAATTTGTGTATAACAACAAGAGATTTTGCAAAAGCACTGTTAGACAGAAGATGCATTTGGTGACAGTTCAGAGTTGCTTCAGTTTAATCGTCAAAAACCTTATTGCTAATATAAATCATGCAATGTTAAGATAAATTCCTTTGAAAGGAGAAAGAATAAAGCCATTTGTAAACATATTCATTGTTACACTCTATATGTTTCATACTGTGCAAGGTATCAATTCATCATACCGTAAAGTATACAAAAATAAACTCAAATCCATATAAGATAAATGGAGCTTGAATAATATGTCCTGGCAATCAAAATGATTCGGGTGTAGAACTATTATACACAAAAGTACTATAAATCAGCTGCTTGACACTGAAGAATTATACAACCTTAGGGAGCAAAACTTCATCTTCAGACAAATAGATAAAATATGCTAGTAGGTATCTTTTCTGATGTCTGTATGTATCACTGACAAAAGGAAAGCATAAACCTAGTAAAATATGATTGATTTAACGATAGTATTTTTCCCTGGAGAAGGAAAAGTACTTCCACTGACAGCAAAGGAATACAAAATTCTCACCTCACAGAAAAGGAAACAAAAATAGAAATTAGGCAACTAGGATGTTATAAAGAGTTTCTGTTTGGGAGCTAAACTAAAATTAACATTTTAAGGTCCTTTTGATCAAACGTGAAAACACAAGGCTATGTTCGTTCTTCACATCACTTCTTTTAATTTAGTGGAATTATGCCAATGAGGAAATTTAGTCCAACACTAATTCCATGGATTCATGGGCTTCATCACAGTAGGATTTCCCTGGCCATCCTGTCTCCCTACAGACAATGGATATCAATTCCCAATGGTCTTTAAAATTAGGTCACCTACTAAAGAATTTCTATACATATATTAATTTACTTCTTGAGAGTATTTTGGGTTTCTTTTCATATTCTTCTCAATGAGAAGCAGTTAATTCTGAGCTTGGGCTGCTTTTTTGAAGGACATGGGCTTTTCATGTTTGGATATACAGTTAAAATATATTGTGTCTCTATCACATTTGGACTTAGAGGTGTTTTCTTTTTAAATCACTACTATTCATATCTGAAACTGTTCCACAAGCCTGTTCCACAAGCTTTTTATGCATAAACTTTGTGCATTGGTAAATATTTTATAGGTAGGTGCTAGCCTCTAGTTTATACGCACGCACACACACACACACAGATTTATATTCAGCTTTTTTTTGTTGCCCTCCCTGTTGATCCCCAAAATGCCCACCCCACATCAAGCCCTATCTCAACTGTCAGATTTCAAATTCTAGGAAATAAATACACCAACAAGCTTGCTGTGCAGTAGTTTTATGCCTGTTACATACATCACAAGTTCAACCCACAAAAGGAAGGAAATGAGAAATTACAACACTAAACACCACATATATTTCTACTCTTCTCCCAGGCTAACTCTACTTTTGACAACACTACAAATACAGAAGAAAGCATATCGCAAGTGCAAAACATATTGTGCTGGATCTGGCAGTCCAAGAGAGGCGAGGATGGGGCAGCCCCATGCCTGAGGTCCCACCAGCAGCAAGCCTGAGCATGTATACCCGTTAGGCACATGCACACAGAGCACATGTATATACCATGTATACATACACCCCTGTCAGAGACACAGAGCACTCACACGGACAGCATCCTTTGCACCTCTGGCTGAACAGGATGGAGGTCCACTAGTGAGAACACACAGATATATACACATCTGTACAAGCTGGATCCCTCCAGCAGCTGGGCTCAGACACTCAGTATGCCCAGTAGCTGCCCATGGACCTCAGTCTCCCCAGTTGCTGGCACCTGGATGTACGACCCCCTGAGGCATCAACCCCACTCCAGTTGCTGGTACAGACCATCACACACACACAGAGCTGGCCGAGATGCTCCTAGTCCTCAGCAGCCCACTCTCTGTGGCATCACCCTTAGAGACACCCCTGGCCATAACGTGTCCCATGTCCCCAGGCAGCAACACATTTCAGTTCCAAAGTTGCTCTGGTGTTGGCTCAGAAGTGGGTTTCACTTCTGGACACTGGGGCTGAGGCTTCTCTGGGACAGCCCTGTGAGGGGTCCAGACAGAGTGTCCCTTCCTCTGAGTCCTTAATTTGGATTCCCACCCACCTTTGTGTCCCTGTGCTCCTCTGGGCTGGTGCAGATGGGCGTTTGATGAGCCGATGGCTCCTGGGGTGCAGCTGGGGCAGAGTACTATTTAAAGAATCATAGAATCATATTTGGGCTCCCACTCCTGCTGTTGTCTCTCTGTGCTCCTTTGTGGGTACGCAGATGAGCTTTTAGCACATATTCCACCATAAGTCTGCCATCTCAGCAACCCGCTGCAACTCAACACAGTGCACTATTATGGTAAACACACAATTTTCAGAAAGGTTATTTTGCCTGGTAGAGTGAATTGAGTGGCCATGGTGGAATGAGTAGAGTGCTTATTGATTTAATGCAGTTGAGAGTAATTCGACGCTTCTGTAACTCTCTTTGACCTTCCTGGAAAGCTCACAGCCTTTATCTTTTTCATCAGCTTCAGTGACCATCAGATGAGGCCATTTGTCCCATATCACAGCTCTTTGATAATGCTGTTCATATAGTACTCAACAAATAAAAAACATTTGGAGATATCTGAAAATTAATTGAAACATTAAAAAAAACTAGCAGGGGAAGGTCTGGTCAGGAGAACCTCAGAGCAGCCACACTGGGTCAGACTGAAGGTCTATGAAATTCTCCCTGCCTGCAGTCTTGCCACAGGGAAAACTAAGGCTCATTTTAATTTACTTTTGTGAATGATAACTTTTTAAGCTAAGTGCATTCCTTCATGCAGGAGAAACATTTAGCAACGTTTGAGGTACCCTGGTAATTAAAAAAAAATTCTCACAGATCCAGATATTTTATTTCAATAAAGAGAAGGCTGATCCTGCATTTCATTGCAGTTGACACATCATATATGATTTTAACAACCTTATTGGGTCAGCTGTATGAACAAAGATTTTTTTGCCTTAAAAGAAGAACAAATTAATTTTTACTGTTATCAGATGAAAATCCCACTCCACCCTATGTCGTGGTTTGGGCCTGGTCGGCAACCAACCCCTGCAGCTGGTCACCCTCCCTTCCCCCTCCCCACCTGGGAATGGGGGAGCGGATTAGAGGG